TGCAGCTGAGCAGTATTTAACCTTGCATTCAACACATCAGGATTTTCCTCAGTTGATAGGGTGTTAGTCATTTGTGACTCCCATTCTCTTTAGTAAGAGTACCATGTCTTAAAACCTTACATAATAATGAAAGTTTACTCCTGTGTCCAAATGGACTGTTTGATAATGAATTGCCAAACAGACATTTTTTGTTCAAAATGGGATTTGTGTGTGTGGGATGATATACAAAGTGTTTCTTTAGCCATATTACAAAGAAAAATCATTGTTATATCTGTGAATTGCCACACTTCCTTAATCTCAGTGGATACTAATTTCATTAATCCAATTCACTAGATTAAAATTGTAATCAGTTTTTTAGAAATATGTATCGTTAAATTTTATTACAAACTACTACCGTGTTCAAGTGGTAAACCACATTCCAACAATGAATTATGCCAGGAAGGCAAATTTGTGGAGTAGCTGAAATGTAATCACGTTGAGGTGATTTGTCAAATGGGCCATACATTAAATTCTGTAATCTCTTGCACTAGTTATCCAAATGGTTTCAGTTTTAGAAATCCTTATCTGGTTTTTTTTCAATGGTTTATTATGAGGGTTGATTCCATTTTAGTTTCTTCTCTAATAGAAAGTCTTGATTATTTATTTAAATGCTAAAAGGCATTATCTTAATTTGGCTACTTAAGTATCTTACAAAAAAGATCGCATCTACAGTCTAAAATGGAAGCTAACATGATTTAAAAAATTTCTTGGTGAGAAAATGTGACTCGGTCACACAGAGGCCAATGAAGTGAGAAGAAAGTAAATTTTTTTATTTGAAACACCTGTACCTTCCCGAGTCCCTAACCTTCAGCTACATGTTGTACATGTACGCTGCCGTTTCCATGGAAACAAACAGATTAAACACTTTTTTCATATCCTTGGTGATGCACTAATGAAAGCCATTCAAGCCTCTTTCTTTTATCAGTATTTTAAGTAATACGTTTATATGTAGTATTGAATCTTTTTTCATGAGGGGCTGGTTGGTAGGGAAATACTTGTGTTGGGTTTTTTTTGTTTTTTAACTGTTAAGCACTATGCTAAAATTTCAGTGGTAAGTCAGGTGTTAGTGACATGGCTATTTGTTGGATTTAGTGAAAGGTGGAATCAAAGTATATTAGCCTTATAAGAAATAGCCTTAAAATAAGAATGGGGTGTACAAAACTTCTTCAGCTTTAAGTCATACAAAAATATCCTTAAATATTAATTAGTTTTGGATCAAGTCTTTGATATGAAAAAATCTAGAGAGAGTACAAGACCATATAAATATATTGAAAATAAGTATTTGTGATACCAGCAGCCTGTTTTTCAGATAAACTTGAATATGACTTAAAATTATTAGTTTTATTAAATTGTTTGAACTTGCACAGTCATAGGTGTAACTTAATGATAAATGGTACTGATGTGTGTATATACAATGTTTAATTCAATTTGTAAATGAGAAGCTATGTAACAAAATCATAGGTATGAGGTTTTCCTATTGTAATTTAATACAGGTATGAAGTTTTTGGCAATACATCATAGTTAATGGAATTTCAGGTCAAATTGTCTTGCAATTGTGTACATTTTTAAATTGTAATATTTCTTCTGTATATTGATTACCATGCATAGTGTGATTCAATAAATTGCTTGTAATTTAAAAACACTATTTAATATTCAAAAATAAAATACAATTATATATTTATAACCTTCATGTCTGTGTTTGTTTATTCTTAGCCCAACTCAGTTCTGGTACTTGTTCAGCTCCTCATTTCAGTGAAGTCAGTGGGACTACTTGTGGGAGTGAAATCAATGTGCTCATAAACGAGGAACTGGGCAGCATCTATTCTTCCCCAGGTGCCTGAAGCCCCAGACACTTCAACCTACACAGCACAACACAGCCTATATGAGAGGGTGTATTTTAGATTCCTGATCTCTTCTGCTAGTATGTGTCGCCATCACTTGAACATCACATCGCATAACACATACCCTCTACAGGGAAGCACTGTTCAAAGTACAGCACAGATTTAATTTGTAGTAATATCTTTCAAGTGAAAATGTGTTGAAATGTGTTAGCATCTGAAATCATCACCATGGGTTTTGCCATAATTATGTAAGGTTTAACAGAGACTACACATGAATGTACATGTCTTTATATAAACAAAACAAACCCTGCTATTGTCATGAAGTAGGCATGGATTCCTGCTGTTTGGCATAAGGAGGTCTCAGTAGAACTGACATACTCGCTGTCTTGTTGTGAAGAGGTTGCATATCAGTTCTCCCTTTACAGACAATTAATGGGGTGAATGGCATTGGTATAAACCTCTGAACTCCTGTTTTCCTGGTTTAGATGATGATGGAAAACATTTTAAAATGAAAAAAATAATGTAAATGAAGTGCTCAAAAATGCTTCAGTAATACAATTCTTTATGCCTGGGCCTTCTAAAGCTGCCATTACCAACACCACCAAAATTGCATATAGTGAGAAGAAAGGTGGGTCCTTGGGTAGAGGATTCTAAGTCACAAGATTTAGACTCTATTTCCAGCTCCTGAGCAAACTATTTGTGTGACTTTGGAGCAAGTCAAAAAGAGCCAATGCTTCCAAAAATGGCCTTCAATGCGTTAGATTTTGGGTGCCCAACTTAGGGGCACTTTCATAGTGCTGAACACCTGCATTTCCTATTGACTTAAATTGGAGTTGTGTGGTCATCACTTTCTCAAATGAGGCTGTTATGTGTCCCACATTAGCCATATAAAGTTGGAGGCCTCTTTTGAAAATGTGGGCCAAAAATTCTATATGCCTCAGTTTTTCCATCTGTAAATCGGGGATAGTGCTTCCCTAGTCACAGGTCATTGAAGCTTAATGTTTGTAAAGCACTTTGATTTTCATGTGGCAGGATAGGCACAAAGTATTTGTTGTGTTTGCAACTCTTGACTCTTTCTTCTACTGTAGCAATGTGAAAAACATGCAAGAAACTAAGACTGAACAATGGAAACAGTGCAAGAAACTTGGGAAAATATTGAACAGGTGAACATATTTAAATACAGATGACATAATTAGCTTCTAAAAAGAAATCCATTATTATAACATTTGTACTTTAAAAAATGCAACTGAAATGGAATTTTAGTGAGGATGAATTTGGCACAAAATTATAATATTTCAGAATTTGTAGCATATATTTAGTGAACAGCAATATCGATTGTGTAGAGTTAACATGGTAAACTGTTGCTATGCTACTAATTTCACTACTTGTGTTCCTGTCTTCAGTTTAGGAAGTGACAAAACTACCCCAAAGTGCACAATAAATAGAAATAATTCTTTTTCATAGACCTTTTTCATTGTCATAATCCTAAAATGCATTTAAAATTTTAAAAGAAATGCTTTCAATTCTAGCCTTCAGAAAACAAATAACCTGGGTTACACTATACAATGGAATATATGAATCTTTTGGTATCTGCCTTTAAGAAATGTAACTATGCAGTTTTTTTCCAACTGAAAATTCCTTCCATGGATTTTAACCAACAGATGCTTCAACTTAAATCATAGTAGGAGCTTTAAGTAGGCAAAATATAATGGCTCAGGTTGAAATTTGACTAGGACATGGGGGCTTTTCCCACAGCCCTTAAAGATCCCATGGCACTTTTATCACTTTCATATCTCATGGCCCCGAGCACCATAGTATCTGAACACCTCCCAGTCTTATGCATTTACCACTACAACACTATTGTGGAAGAGGGAAGTGCTATTCACTGCATTTTATAAATGGTAAATTGCAGCACAGAGAGACTAGGTGACTTGCCCAAGGTGTTAGTTTGTAGTGGAATATGGAATTGAACCCAGTTCTGTGAAGTCCCAGTAGTGCCCTATCACACACCCTTCCTCTCTAGGGCTGGGTATTTGACCAGTCAAATATTGTCAAATGTCAAAAATGGTCAAATATTTTAAAGCAGTAACTTATTAGAACAGTAACAAAAAAAGGAAGACTTTATGGTCTCCAGTAGGCTTAGCCTTAGATTCTTATGCCTAATTATATATAATTAAAAAGCTAGTGTAGTGGGTTATTTTAGTTCAGAAAAATGCAAAACAATTTTTTTTTTTTTTTTTTTTTTTTAGAAAAGATGGAATAGTACCATCATGAAGTCAAAAAAGCAGGCCACCACCTACCTCAGGGAATTCTTGCTGGAACACTGGACTATATTTAACCATGGACAAATAGGTCGATTGACCAGCTTGCCAAGCCTGTTCCTTTATAATGACAAGTAGTCATGATGACCTCATTATCTGTGCTCTGGCGGAGAGGCTGCCGCAGCAGAGTGCCAACGGCGATCCTGTTGGATGGAGCATTGTTTCGGTACTGACTGTGAGGGAAGAGTTTCTACCTGTTGAATCACCAGTCCCACTTGCAGCACCCGAGTGTTGAAGGGGAAGCCCCCCAGAGTGCTGACCCATCCAAAACCAGCGCAGTCTCGGTGACCAGCTGGAATTGCAGCACAGAGCAGAACCCGCGTACCCCAGCCTCTTAATAATTTAAAAACCCCTGACCTTTGGGAACATTGAGTTTGCAAGCTGGAGCTGTCCTCGGGTGAATTGACACAATGTTTGCAGGAAGAGAGAGCCCTGTGCCGCACTGATGTGGGCACCTTTCCTGGTGTTTTGTTTTCATATGGATTAAGCTGTGTTTGAACAAGTTCTCCAACCTCTTAGACAAACGGGCTTTTCTTCACAGGGCAGGGGGGCCCCATCTCACGCTTAACTTGGGCCGCACAATGCCGCCTTCTGTGCCGCAGGACGCCCGCGCGATAAGGACCCACGTTCTCGCCGCGCTGCCCCGTGGAAACAACAACCTGCCCCGCGGCTCTAAGGTCCCGCCTCTGCCCCCGTGCAGGTGGCGCGGAACCTCGGGCAGCCCCGCCCGCCCGCCTCCGCCTCCCTTGGGGATTTGCCTGGAAGCTCCTGCTGCGCCGGGCTCCGCCTCCCGCTGGCTCCGCCGCTAAAGCGACGTGTCCCAGGCCCGGCGGGCGGGCTGCGGTCACACGCGTCTCAGCCACCTGCGAGCGGCTGCTCGCCCGGCGGCCCTTCTCCGGCGTCCCGCCCTCCGCGCCGGCTCCCAGGTACGCGTGCCGGGCACCAGGCTCCCGGCGCGGGGGGCAAAGGGCCGCTCGGGGAGTGGCGGAAGGGCTCCCGCTGTCTGAAATTGCACTGGCCGCTCCCACCCCGCCGTGCCCACCGCCTTCCCTCTGGAGCCCTCCCGCGGGGCTCCGGTCCCTCCTGGGGGCTCCCTGCGCCCTCGGTAGGTCTTTTCTCCGGTCGCTCTCTCCTATGCCGTCCCCCGCTGCCCCGACCGAGTTCCTCCTCTGCCTGCCCGCTTGCTCCCTCGCTAGCCTTCGCCTCCGGCTCTGCGAGCTCTGAACGCCTCCACCGGCCTCCTACCCCCAGCCCCTCCTGCTCTAGCCTGCCCCAGCCCCCATTGCCCCCAAACTCCCGCCAGGACTCTCCCTCATCCCCGCTGTCTCCCCGTCTCCCCTGGAGGTAGTGTCGAGCCTGTCCAGTGACACTACAGGACTGTGGGCTATAGGACGAGGGGTTTGGGGGTGGGTAGGGGATGGGTCTGGCGTGTGTAGCTGTATTTGAAAACAACCTTCCCCCAAACCACTTCATGTACCCTACAGTCACCTGCTATCCTTAGTCTACTGGTTCCACCTGGCTCCCTGCTCCCCTTAATCTGCCAAATCCTCTTCTCCTAGGAGCTCCCCCCCTTTCCTCTGCTGGCTGCCACCCCAGTCCAGGAAGGTGGGTGTCTGTCAAGGAGCAGCTGGTTGCTTTCCCAATGGCAGTGCCTTCTGCAGGGGAGGTAGGGATTTGGCTGCTCTCCTTGGTGCCTATTTGCACTGTTCCATCCTACTTCTGGTTTGCCATCTCTCCGAGAGAGAGAAGCTCCAAGGTTTCTCCTGGCCTGGCTTTGGTTTTTCTTTTCCCCAGTATCAGCCCTGTCCTCCAGCTGTTTTCCTCAGGCGCCCATGACTCTCAGGCAGCATGGTGTGGGGCTGGTGGGTGAAACCTGAGATGCAGTCTTGTCTTGCTCCCCTGGCAGCCTTGGGCTGGAGGCCCCCAATCAAGCCACTTTGTGAGGTGAGCATAGGTCCTCTGTGGAAAACTTGAGTACCCTGTGATGAGGTATGAATCCAAAGAACGGCCAGAGTAGCTGGCACAGGGCAGCTGGAACACCGTGAACACGGAGAAAGGAGCAGCTGAGGATGCTCCTAGGTGGCGGCGGTGGTGATGTCGGTTTTCCCAGCATCCTCAATCAGTTTTACCCTCTACTGCAAGAGGTGGTGATGTGGCATGGTGGTGCATCTCTCCTGTCCTTCCAGGAGGGGAGTTAAGCTCTGTGGCCAGTCTCTAACGGCAGTCCGACTCTCCAGTCACTCGCATTTCAGTGCATCACCAGAAATATTTTCTAAGACTGGAACGAAGGGGAGTAAATGGACACCCCCCCCATTAATACCAGTCATCAGCAAAAGGGGGGGCTGCTGCCAGGTGCCTGCCATTGAACCAAGCATTGTCACAAAGTGGAGGTAGAGGGTGCTTCTGCATCATCACTGTCTAATGGCTCGTCAGCCTGGAAGGAAGGGGCATTGCTGCACCTGTGCAGGTGCCCTGTCCCGTGGCACAGGAAGACTAGACTCTGCCATGCTGCCAGTGTTGGCTGGATTATTGACTTGGGAGGTGTAGAAATTGCTGTTATACCGGGTGTCAAAATGGCTATACCCTGGCCATTAGCTGGTGAAGGAAGAGAGGCTGCAACCCACTCCCCCTCCTGCACTGCTACTGTCACTGCGGGAGGAGGTACTGCTGCCAGCATGCCAGTCTTCACTGAGCAGCGGGAACTCTGCTGCTGCTGCACCATACAGGAGCTTTCACTGTGGGTGCTGATAACAGCCAACCTTCCTCCTCTAACTGCAGCAGTCCAAAATAGCAAGGTGGTGTCCCTGGAAGAGAGCTGGGAAGACCATCAATGAGGAGGAGCAATCTGAGCCTTCCACCGGTTGTGGACAAAACTGACACAGCTGGCATTTTAAAGGCAAGACTAAAAGCAAATGACAAATAGGAAGGCATTGGCTTGTGAATGAGAAGTGAATACAAATTTGAGTTAATGGCTCCTAAAAGTTGTCTGGATGGCACGAAGAGAAGGTGGGGAGACATATGGTGAAGTTGGGAGAGCTGTGAGAGGAAGCAAGAGAGCAACACTCAAAGGAATGGGGGGGAAGAGAAAGGGGGCATTCAGAGGACAGCATAATGTGTTGGCTTTGCGATGTGAGTGCGTGCTGCTGCCCACAAACAGGACCTCCTACTCTCACAAGTTTTCCTTTAGCTCCAGTGGAAGAGACTTGCCTTTTTTGGAGCTGGATATCCAGGGATCTAGTCCCAAATCAATTCTGTGTGCATGCACATGGATGTGATTCAGCTCATAAGGAATGGGTGCCAGGAGCTGGGAGGAAAGGGAGTTTATAACTAAGCCTTTACTGACAGTCATGCTCCTGTCGTGCTTCTCACTTTCTGGTTTGCTGACGCCAAAGACCTCTTTTTGCTGTTGAGATCTCTAAACTGGAAATGCTGCGTCTCAGTCCAGCCTTTAAATTCCTTTCCTGTTTTCCCTCAGGACAGCTCTTGCTTAAGGGAACAGACTTGGCTCACCAATGTTTGCAGTCACTTTTTTTTTAATATTGTTCTATTTCTAGTTGCTCAAGACAGACCAGATTCTTCTCTCACTTAAACTAGCGATACCATTGTAGCCAAGAGAAGAACTTGGCCAAATGTTCCCATTGTCCATCTTCCTTGTAATGCCTTACTCTGTGGTTATCAGCATTGTCACATTGTAGTCATTTCAGTTGGCCTGTGGCATATGTGAAATGGAACTGGACTGAAAGCAACAGGCTCTAGTGGACAGGAACCCATGTCAAACACTCATTTGGCTCCAGTTTTAGCATGCTCATTGGCATTCTCAGCAGAGAGGCCAAGGACTGAATGAACCTGGAGAGGATCTCGCCACAGAGAACTACAGTGGCCTCCCCTTCAATTAGAGGGGAGGGGCCCCAAACAGAGGCCAACTGAATCAGACAAATGAGACAATGTATGTTGCCAGTTGGAGACTGAAATCCAAAGCAAGTACATTAAGAACAGATGTAGTACAGGCTCCCTCCCTCTTCCCCTCACCCCCCAGTCCCACTAACATGCATGAATCAAGATGCAAATACATCACCACCACCACTGCCCACGTGCTGTGGTTAAAAGGATCCTCTCCAGGGGCCCTACTTCCATCCACAGAGCCCAGATGGTCTGATGTTAACAATCAGTAAAACATATACTAACAAATAAAAGATCCAGCTGGTAGTTTCACAGTATTTTGCAGGTAGATGCTGGTACAAAGCAAAACAGCACAATGACTTTCCATTTGTTCAGTATGAAAGGTAACGATAGCTGAAGATGTTGATGTTATGTTTTTGCAGCATGTTGATGGCTAGTACCAGAAGATTAACTTAGTGGGAGAACAGGCTGGGTGACGTTTCCCCATCATCTACTGAAACATGAAGACCAAAAGCAAAAGAACGAAGCACAGGCTTGCTGTTGATAAAGAAGCCTTTCTTGGGGAGACAACTTTGAGCAAAGAGGAACCGGTGAAATGTTTGCGACACAAAGAAAGGAGAAATGGCAGAAACAATGAGAGCAACAAGACTGGTACAGTCAAAGCCAAACATGCTTGGAACAACAAAGACAGACACTTGAGGCGATTGGAAAGCAATGAACGGGAAAGGCAGAGAATGCACAAGCTCAATAATGCATTCCAGGCCTTGCGGGAGGTTATCCCTCATGTGAGAGCTGAGAATAAACTTTCTAAAATTGAGACTCTTACACTAGCCAAAAATTACATTAAATCACTGACTTCCACCATACTCCATATGTCCAGTGGGCACCTTCCAACTGTAGAAGGAACTGGGGCAGCCAATAGCTCCAAACTGTACCAGCATTACCAACAGCAACACGGCGATGAGGAACACGATGAACAGCTAAAAAAATACTCCACACAAATTCACAGCTTCAGACAAGGCAGCTAAAGTTAGCTACTGGCCTCATTCTCTCTTCTCCACACATTCCTGTATATTTCAGCATTTAGAGGATTAAGGGGTTATTTCCTGCTGGTGGGTTTCTTTTTTGTTTGTTTTTGGAAAGACAAATGTTTAGTGGCTAGATCTCATAGTTCTTGTTGAAATTATCCTAAATTGTAGGTCAGGCTTTTCAAAGAGATTAGTGATTTTGGTTGCCCGATTTGAAACACCTTCTGTGTTCTTATAGTTTTTGTTTACCTGCTTTGTTTGTAATTTTCCTGAGGTCAGAGTGTTCTTTTAATTTGTAATGAGAAATTGTTTGATTGTTCAACACCCAGATTGCTTTTGCAGGGCAGGCTTTATAAACAAATTATTTTTCAGTGGGAGGGGGTGCTCTGCCCGTTAGGAAAATTACTCTTTTTATAAGGTACCTCGAGTTGGGCACCCAACAGTGATGTCCTAAATCACTAGTCATTATTGAAAATACTGGCTGTAACTTCTATTCCTCCAGAAGTGACACCATGTAATGGGGAATCTTGGTGCAGAAATAATGAAGTTTATGGCCCGGTACGGTACTTTGGAATGTATACAGCTACTGGAGGGACATATCTAACTGACCTGATGTTTGGATAGCAGGACTAATTTCTTTAACCACAATTACCTGGATTTTTTTCCCCTTGAATTCTTAAATATCCTGCTACTCAGAGGGAGGAACAATTTTAATGACAATAGAAACATATTTTGAGTAGTTTGATTAGTGTGATCGAACAGGTATGAATACTATCTAACAAAATGGCCTTAGATCAGATCCTAAATGCCCTAAACCAGCAGTTCTCAAACTTCATTGCACCGTGACCCACTTCTGACAACAAAAATTGGGGTGCTATGTGCCGTGGGTGGGGGCATGTAACCTTAGCCCGGGGTGGTGAGGCTCAGGTTTTGGCTTCAGCCCCGGCGGGTGGGGCTTGGGCTTCAGACTTGCTGGGAGCCAGGGCCAACATCAGCCTTGGTGACCCCATTAAAATGGGGTTGCAACCCACTTTGGGGTCCCAACCCACAGTTGGAGAACCCCTGCCCTAAACTCATTGAAGTAAATGGAAAGGTTCTAATTCACTTCAGTGGGCTTTGGGTCACGGTCCTAAAATGTAGTCCTACAAGTACACTTAAAATGCACAATAATTAATGTGATCCTTGTTGCATTATATATATTTGAAAGTGCCTTTTAACAGAAACCTTAAAAGAGATTTGTTAGATTGTAAGCTCTTCTAGGCAGGAGCTTGTCTTTGTACAGCATCCAGTCCAATGGGATCCCAGTTCCATTTGGACCCTTTGGATGCTATTGTATTATAAATATTTTACAGTTAGTTCACTTGTGATCTTTGCAAAAATGATGTGATTGCAGAACAAATGTTTTGTGTATTTACCAGTTGGACAATGATAATCTGTGCATTTAAAATGAACTCTGCTAATAAAGCCTGCATTGTAATCAATTAGGATTCATTCTGGGCTAGGTACTATAAAATACAATAAATGAAACAGGAGATATTGAAACAAGAAAAGAAACTTTTAAAAAAAAAGTTGGAATAAAAACTTCCATTTCTCCTAGCCCTGCTCTTCTTCGCCTCCCCCCAAGCTAAGATTTCTTTGTTTGGAAATGTTGCACGTACAGCATATGTAACAACTGTCTCCACCTATGGCCATAGAGTGCTGATGTTAGCCGGACAGTTGTGGTTATGCTGCAGAGGGGGCAAGGGCAGGATTTAGGTGCTCATGTTTTGCACAGGATGTAGCTTCATGGGCCCTACCTTTGTCCCCACAGAGTAGGGTAGTGCAAGGGGGAAGCAGGCTGAGTGAGGGAGAGATTGGTGGATCCTTTGCAGGGGGTGTTGAAGAGAACAGCTGCAGAGACCCCCTAGAACATAAGAACGGCCATACTGGGTCAGACCATTGGTCCATCTAGCCCAATATCCTGTCTTCCGGCAGTGGCCAATGCCAGGTGCTTTAGAGGGAATGAACAGAACAGGCAATCATCAAGTGATCTATCCCCTGTTGTTCACTCCCAGGTTCTAGCAAAACAGAGACTAGGGACACTCAAAGCATGGTGTTGCATCCCTGCCCATCCTGGCTAATAGTCATTGATGGACCTATCCTTCAGGAACTTCTCTAGTTCTTTCTTTGAACCGCATTATAGTTTTGGCCTTCACAACAGCCCCTGGTAAAGAGTTCCACAGGTTGACTGTGTGTTGTGTAAAGAACCCAGGCAACCCAAGGTGCTCTGTGTGCAACAGAAAGCAGTTCTGACCCTTATGGGTGTGTCTACACTGCTATAAAAGACTTGTGGCATGGCCACAGCTGGCCTGAGTCAGCTGACTTGGGCTCATGAGGCTCGGGCTGCAGGGCTAAAAATAGCAGTGTAGCAGTTCAGGCTTGGCCTTGGGCTCTGAGATCCACCCCCTTCATGAAGTCTGAGAGCTGGACTCCAGCTTGAGCCTGAGCATCTACGCTGCTATTTTAAGCCCTGCAGCCCGAGCCCGAGTCGACTGACCCGGCCTCAGCGTTGGTGCCATGCAATGTAGAGAGACCCTATGAGTTCTCCCTACTCTAATGCTTAGTGCAGTGTGGAGAGACTTCGTAATGTGATATTTATTCCACTGGACCGGTAGTGTGATAATGTTTTTATCTGGAATATGTAAAGTGTCAGAGACCGGCTGTGAGAGAGACACGTTTTCATCTTCTGCGGTAGCTACCTGCTGATACAACAGGGAACAATGAATGTTGCTTTTCACACACTGCGCTCTCTTAACTGCAGGGGCTGGATTCTACCGCCTCAACTTGAGTTCTTCCCAACGACTTTTTTCCCTCCCAAAAAAACCCCATTACTTAGTGAGAGGTGTTTTGAACTAATCTCTCCCTCACAGGGATTTGAATGGCAGATCAGACCATTGAGCCATCTAGGCTAGAATCTTCCATTGTGCAGTGCCCACAAGTGCCTGTAATATCTCCAGTTTAGCTTAGTACCGTGCTCTACTGGGGGAGATGGATAACATTGTCCAATCAAGGTATTTTCTGTCACTTGCGCTCTCTTTTTGTAGATGGATGGGAAGAGATTATTTATTAAAATTTAACTGCTCACTTCTCTTATCTACTGCAAACCAGGTTTCAGTGAACAAAACCTCTTCTCTCTCTAGCAGCAGAAGGCTGCTAAAAGGAGGAAATCTGCTACGGTGCTGAGGGCCTTTCATGGGTTTTTTTGCTTGATGAAGCAGAAGGAAAGGAGCCAGCACCTCAGCCGATCAGCAAGTGGAAGTGGAGGAGCCTGTAGCCTCAAGGGCAAACTGTAGACTTTCAATCTGAGACCTGCTGAGGTCACCTCTTGTCCACAGGGAAGGCCTTCTTGCAATGATTCAGACTCTTTAAAGAGGTGGCAGACCTGCTAGTATTCATTTTTGATAGAGGATTTGCCCAGAGAGCTCAATCAACTGCTTAAAACTATTTCCCCCAGACAACAAGTGAACTTCCGAATGCATGTTTCATTTATGCATCCCCACCTCTTCTGATGCAGGGGCGAAATCCTGGTCCCAGTGACATCAGTGGCAAAACTCCCATTGATTTCAGTGGTATCAGGATATCACCCCAGATGTTTGTGTCTGCCAGAGGCCATAGGGTTGTCAGTTTCGGTTGGATGTTTTCCTGGAGGTTTCATCACATGACATAATCTTTAATTAAAGATTAAGCTTTAATTTCTGGAGACTCCAGGACAATCCTGGCCAAGAGGTGGCATTTCAGACTTGATGGCTCAGTGGTCTGGTCTGGCAAATCATAGGTACCTCTCCTAGCAACAGACTTGGGTAGTAAAGCCCAGAACTGCTGAACTTGCGGAAGCACAAGTGTGATGGGGTATCCACCCACAGCAGCCCTAAAAGAGTTCAGGAAGCCAAGAAAGATCCAGTTAGTGTGATAGGCCACACAGGAGGGGATTAGGCTGTAGATGCATCTCCTGAGCCAAAGCTGAAGCTCAGGTGAGCAGGTGTGGGCTGGCAACAGCAATGGCTGCAGAGAGGAAGTCTGCCACCATCCTCCTCTGTGTGTTAGAGAAGGCAGGAAGGCACCCAGGGAAAGAATTAAACCCCTGGGAGCATGGCCCTCGTGGAGGACATACCCAGGAGAGAGCAGGTAGAGAAGACAGTCTGTGGAAGGTAGGTTGCCAATTTTGGTTGGATGTATTCCTGGAGGTTTCATCACATGACATAATCTTTAATTAAAGATTAAGCTTTAATTTCTGGAGACTCGACAATCCTGGAGGGTTGGCAACCCAAGTGGGAGGTGGCGTAGGCAGCAGCCCAGGGAGAGAGCAGCAAGGTTGGGGACTGAGCAGACCTTGACGGTGTTTTGCAGGGTCCCTGGGGTGGAATGTGGAGTAGTGGGTGGCCCTGGGTTCCCCTACCCGCCAGTGATGGAGTGGCATAGCCTGGACCAGTGGTTCTCAACCTGCAGGTATGCAGAGGTCTTCCAGAGTGTACTCAACTCATCTAGAATGGTGTTTCTCAACCTGGGAGTTTCAGTGCCCAAGGAGGTCATGGGATGGGTTTAGGGGGATTGCAAGTGCAGAGCTGGTATTAGGGGGTGGCAAGCAGGGCAATTGCCTGGGTCCCCATTTCACAGGGGGCCCCGCAAAACTAAGTTACATGCTTCAGCCCTGCTGCCTGGGGCTCAGGTTTCAGAAAAAGCTCACAATTGAAAAACATGCTCAAGTATCATAGTGAAATGTAAGTACAATATTTATATGCCAATTGATTTTATAATTATATGGTAAAAGTGAGAAAGTAAGCAATTTTTCAGTAACAGTGTGCTGTGATACTTATATTTTTGTCTGATTTTGTAAGCAAGTAGTTTTTAAGTGAGGTGAAAGTTGGGGTACGTGAGACAAAACAGACTCCTGAAAGGGGTACGGTAGTCTGGAAAGGTTGAGAACGACTGGCCTTATCAACAGGTCCAGTAAGACTTTATACCCCAGAAGGAGAAACCACAGAGTTTGGCTGGAGGGCCGAGTCACAAAGAAGCTCCTGAAGTGAGAGAGGGGGTGCAAGGTAAGCAAAAGGATAATGGGTTGAGAGCCTGCAAGGGCAACTGTTAGACCTGGAAGAGAGCTGTTCTCCAGAGGAAGTGCTACCCATGGTGCGTACCCTGTGATAAGTCTAAATAATGTGACAACCTTCCTGCTTTTTTGGTTTTTAAAAACCCAGTTCCCTGTGGGCCTAGAGCCTTGGTCTGGCATTTAAAGTCATTGTTGCAAACAAAATAGTAACCAGACACTGGCCCAAAGTGAATTAGGCTGAGGGCTCTCATCTGCCTACATGACAAGCAGTGGTAAGGGACAGATCACGTTAGCAAATGCTTCCAATATGTAACAGGTGCAGATAAGTATGTTCAGGATTTTGTCTCCCCTCCTTCCCCCCACCACCCAAAATGAATTCTAGTGACCCCTGTGGCAGCTGGAGAAAGCTGGCTTAGGAGGAAAATGGCTGCAGCAGCTAGGAAGCCGCCAACCTGGAAAGGCTAATGAAGGTCAGAAACATTTTTAAATACTTTAATTGCAATGTAAATACTAGATTGTTTGAGTAAATATTGAAGTGCATGACAGGAGCAACACAGCAGCCATTTGTGCCTGTCTCGCTGGCTCAACGAGTTTTTGTACAACTATGTTTTAACTAAATGAAAAGGGGGAATAGGGGGAGTTGCATGTCACCATCCCTGGGCCCAGTGCACGTTTTGGGGCCATAGTACACCTGCTCTGCACAGTCTTACCTGCTGCAGGGATCCTGGAGGTAGCTATGGCTGGGCGGAGGCCCTGGTAGCCTGGCTGTCAATAACTGTGGCCAGAACCACTGAGGCACAGGCTCAGAGCCTCCCACAATCATCAGGGGGAACTCACCAAGGAGGTCTCTGGGCAGCTTTCTTTGGTGAGTCCCCTCTGGTAGGATTCTTTGTGGCCGGGGGAGAAATGGACCCAACTTCCTACCTTTCAAACACTGCTGCTACTTACTACTTCAGTAGCGATTCTCCCTACACTTCTGAAATGTCATTCTCTTTGCATCTCTTATAGAGACCAGGCCCCACATTGCTAAACTGCACATTAGCAGGAACAAAGCTGCCTTTAGTGTTCTCTTATAACCTCAAAATAATTGAACTTGGGCCATTAACTGAGTCTAATCCCCCTTAAACACACAAGGGAAGAGTTATGCAAGTCCCAACTTACAATTCAAGTTAAGATATCATGTAAAAGGCATTTTATATGGGTAGAGTTACACTAGTTCCTTGGGTTAGGGTCCAGACAGACAACTCAGCGTACTAGCCAGGCTTTGGAATACAACAAAGGGCAATGCCATGTACATGGCTCTCTAGTTCTCTTGTTATGCCTAGATTTACAGACAGTTTAGTTTTGGTGAATCCTGGTCCCATTTCTTAAAAGCTCTCTTGACTGTTTATATAGGCCCTGATTCAGCAAAGCACTTAAGTGTGTGCTTAAGTGCTTTGCTGAATGTGTCTAGGCACAGTAATGAAAGTGAGAGAAGTAATATTGAGTGACAAACATTAAGGGAGTCTAATACATCTTGCAGGGGTTTTTAAGCTCCTCAGTCACAATACATTACAATGGAGATTCCCACAGCAGCATTCTGTGGACTTTAAAGTCCTTTTCTGTAGGATTTTTTTATGGGGGAGGGGAAGGGGACAGACAGCATTTTAGCTGCCAAGACAGCGTATCAGTGTCTGGATTCAATGCTTAGCGTAAATAAAGGGGCATTATTACAAGTTATTAAAGCATTTGGCAAACAATACTGCATAACCTTTAACAGTAAATGCAGTATCAGGTAGCTAGTGGTACAGAGATCAGATATGAAGGGTATGCCTTCCCTCAGTAAATACTGCCCTGCTGTCAGCTATGACCTGCTTCTCACTGAACAAAATTGCTAGGGTATTTTATTTCTTCCAGTAGTGTTAGCATTATAGCTTAGGGCAAGTAGCTACCCCTAGTTTCAAAATAGTAGCTAGTGACAAGAGTTTTTCTTGGACAAATTCAAGGGAATTTCACAATGGGAGTCTTTTTTTCTGACAGATGAACTTTATTTTTCAAAATCCATTTCAACCTTCAATTAATTTCAGTAAAGTTATTTCACAATTAGGGGGCTGATGTACATTTTAATTCCATCTGTCACTTTCTACTTTAAGAAGACTTTCAGGGGCAGAGATTTGGTGCTCAAATATAGATTTTATATTTTGCATATGTTCCCTTAAACAGCTTTTTGTTGTACAACAGACAAAATGGGTTCCCTCCCTTGGGGGGGGGGAAGGAGAAAATGCACGATTACATTAGTGTATATTTTATTGAGTCAGTTAGTAATATATGTAACACTTGCACTGAAGATGTAAACATTGGATATTCAAAAGGAAAATATAAGTTGACCTTCTGACATAGATTATGTGTTAGTGCAGAGAAAAAGCAAGCCTAAGAGTATATGTGGTAAAGCTATTAATGATGTTTATTTGGAACAATTGCTGTGTAACTTCTAGAACTGTATGTAACCTAGTATTTATAGGAATGAATGCAAATAATGTCACTTACGACACTTGAAACACCACAGATGTAAAAATCAATAAAAAAACTATAATCACATATTGGAAAGTTCAATAGGTTAGACAGTAGCATCTTTAAGATTCTTTTTCACATTTGGACATAAACAGTGTCTTGGCATTAAAATATCATATATATATATATATATATATTAAATACAGTCAATAGTTACTTCTACAAATACAGTACTTGAGACCATGCCACATTGCTATTCAATTTATATAAAAATAACTCCATATACAATCACACACAATATAGGGAAAAGAATGTAAACTTGCAGTGCTACCATTAAGAAACTTGGGGTCTGAGCCTGCTCTCAACATTCCCATCAAATCTAAGTGTGCAAGATTAGCCCCTCCGTGACAACCTCTCTAAAAGTTACAATGGATAAAGCCTTATCCTGTAAGGTGTGGAGTGCCCTCCTGAAACCAACGGGAGGTGAACGCTCAGCACCTTGCAGAAGGTGACTGGCACCACACAATATTGGGCTTTAAAATAAAGAGGAGTTCAGAGGAAAATCTAGGCTTAACTACAATTTTAAAGCAGGACAGAACTAGACCTTCTCTTTTGAGGAATAATGTACACTAAGGTGTTAACTCACGAGGAGAAGAGCCAGAAATATATTCAGCACAGATCACTTAGTACAAACTAACAGCAAAGCCCCATTCTGAGTGCATGCTAGTCTACACTGACTTCACGGGCGAGACTGTAGCTATCTACCATTATGAAGCCGGAAATAGGTAAAGAACTTTTTCCAGTCTCTCACTCGAAGAGACTTGGACAAAGCATGAGGTGTGAGCTGTTGGAGGACGAGCTGAACGTGAGGCTAAAAAGATGATTTTTCCACCTCATATCTGATAAATGTAGAAGCACCCCTACTGAGAGATTAGGACTCTCTTCCACATGAATTCCGCTGACACCAATGGGACCACTTGTGAAATAAGATTCTATGCAGCATGAGAACGGGTACCAGAAATTGGCCCTTAGTAATATGTACTCCCTCCGCTCCAGTCCTGCAAACACACACTTATACTCATGTGGAACATTATTGATACAAGTGATCCCCGCTCAATGTGAGGGTAGCATAGAAATCAATGAGCTGACTCACATGAGCAAAGTTAAGCATGTCCATAAGTGTCTGCAGGATCAGGACCCTAGATTTGACACTAATGCAGTGACTAGAGCGCTCTGTACAGTAATCAACTATATATTGATACAATTTTTAAAATCCTCCTATCTGCCCAAAGACGAGAAATACTAAAACTGGAGAGTGGCATATAAGATGAGTGAGTGTTAAGGGATGTAGGGAAGGGAATTAAAGACTTCTACAGGAAAAACAAACAAGTCTGCAAAGATATTCACATTCACACAGTTTGTGTAGCAGCTTTAAATGGGGGTCAAGGCTATTCCTGCAGCTCCAAACAGCACCTCGTCTCTCTTGGCAAAACTCTGTCAGTTCTATCAAGCCATACTCTATTAACTTAGTAGTACAAGAATAAATTAAATATTAAAATGCCCATCTTGTAAATTCCAGTTCTAAAAAATGCATCAGTTTTATCAGAAGGCTTTTTTTTTTTTTTCTGAGCAGAAATGGATTGAGTTTGTTGTATCCTACAGTTTGTTTTTCTTTAAATTACTTGGGAAACAAGCAGCAGCCAGTGTACAGAGAACAGAACATACTAACAATTAACAGAGTTTCTGTCTAGTGCTTGTCCTTCGTTAACCATCAAGGTGGTTTTAGAATGGTTTCCTTTTCCTCCATTCTCCCCATCTTCTAGATCCGTTGGCTTTGCTGCATGCTCTTCAGAGGTCTCATGTAAAGCAGCCTTAGGAGCTTCAGTTGCATTTCCTCTGACTGTAATGTGCTCCCATCCACCCTACATGAGATTTTAATATATTTTAAAGAAACATCGCAATTTGATTCAAAGCTTTGTTTACAGGAAGGTTTTTGCACTATTTATTCTTAATGCCCTGCCGGGGGTTAGTTTTCCCACCCTACCTCAGCTCAGAAAAAGGACTCCTTACAAAATCCTGACCTGCTAGCATGTGTAACTCCCAGAGGGAGCTGGGTGCATAACTGCCTGGTCCACACACTCAAATCCCCATGACTCCTATCTCTTGGATACTCTGGTTAGAGCATCTAAAATGGATGAGACACATGCTCAAGGAAAAGAGCAGGCCTGGACAAGGATTAGTATTCTGCATAATGGGGATTGGGTGAAATCCTGTCCCCACTGAAGTTGGAATTTTGCCATCAACTTCAAAGGGGCTACGATTTCAATGAGACTGTTTAAATATCTGCACTTCAAACACTGCAGCATCATGACAATGGGGGATAATCATGCACAGACCATGGAGAAGCTTTACTTATAAAATGCTGCCATGTTAATTGCTGTATTATATTTAATTTGGCTAATCACAGTTAACTACATATTTTAAAACAGTGTCACTGGACACAAAATTAAACTCTTTAATGAAGACTTCAAAACGCTCAAACTAAAAACCAACCTTAGTTTAAAGATTAGTATAATGTAAATGAGGCACTGTTCTATACAGTAATTGCATAACACACTTCATTCATTTTTAAAAAAGACGCCAATACATTTGAAGACACAATCACTTGACATGGAAATGTCTCCATAGTCAAGACAAGGAGTGCTCCTATTTGAGAGTACAGGGTGCAAGACCAGTTTCCTGCCTTGCACAAGGAGATGAGCACCTATCCAAAATTTCGTAGGCGCCTACTGAAACAGGGATTGTATCTTCCTCTATAGACAGTGCCCAACCACCTATAACTGTGTAGATACCAACTCTAGAGCAATTCTGCGCTCCCAGCACTCACCCCAATGCCGTAGTCCCATGAGAGCCCTTTCGATTCCAATGGTTGGACTCCTGTTCGATGACAGACTGTCCCGCAACTTAGGCTGTGACTTCCTTGCACTTTATCAGCTATCACCCAAACCTTAAAGAGAGAGAATGAATAAAATGTGTTTCACACACTGCTCTCTTCCTCTAAATGAAAACCATGACAGTACCCGGCTCAGTCACACAAACAGCTCCAAAGACTGGATGCAGTGACCTTGCTTAGAGCAAAACAGCTCTAATTTGGGCAAACAGAAACCCAAACATCCCTACACAAATGAGACCCAGGCACGAAGATTAGCAGTGGAAACATTCCCACTGAGATTTAACAAGGAAGGTTTACAATATATGCTATTTGCATAGTCTCAGTGGGACAGCAGAAGTCTGTGTTACCATTTCACAGAGTTAATTTTCAGGTTGTCAGGATGCCAGCATGTGAGTCAGTGTCTTATGAGGGAAACACAAGTAGAAACCACTGTTTACTGATGATTTAGCTATGTCATTCATAACTAGTGAAATGCAAAGTTAAATACATACCTGATCCATGGGTCCCACAGAAACTTTACGGATATTATTTGAAACATGGTCCCAACTAGATCCTTGAGGGTAGCTTGGTGTGATTCCCTGACGGTACCAGAGATTACCTATAAATAGATCAATTAAATCCTATGAAGGGAAGGTCTTTTAGACAGAGTTCGGGAGTTCTGCTCATGTAGGATGAGCCCACTGCATTAAAGCCATGAATTCTGCACTGTTTAATTAAACATCATAAGAGATCACTAGTTATTGCTTCCTTATTTTCTATGGAATCCTGTTACACTTTTCACTAGTGAGTGGAACTTCATAGTCTCTATTTACCCTATTCTGACCTTCCTGAATAATGGTGCACACCCTAATTTCTAAAGCTCCTTGGGGAAAGGACCATGCATTATAGATTTACAAAGATCCATGCACACCATTGGCGGTACAGAAGTAATGCAACATGGAAAAGGAGTTCTCTCAAACAGGACGCTGCAGAGTTAAAGGCTTGTTTCTTTTGTGAAAGGATTGTCTAGTGATGATGCACCAGTTTGTTTGCTGTGGATGATGTGCATGGTTCACTGCAAGGCATTCTTCCTGCAGATTTGCATGTTTTGGGGTTTCTGGCAAAGCTCCTCAGACGCAGTGAGAGAGGTTATTTTCTTCTTTGTGACAATCCAATAAATATTTTAAAAAAGCATTCTAGATGCTGTGTCCATGTTATCTATGGCACTACCTACGTCAAATACAATCCTAGGAGCCAGACAGTGATTACCGCACCCAGTCCATCACTGTGCCAATGCAAGGCTATTCCCTCTGAACACACAGAGGAACAGATCCTCAGGTGGTGTAAACCAGCATAGCTCCACTAACTTCAATGGAGCAATGCCAGTTTACATGAGTGGAGGATGTGGCCTAGAATCTTGTTTTAAAGCAGTCAGATCTCTGGTTCATTTCCGAGTCCTTGTCATTTAAAACTCACCATTTTTATCCACCGCCAACATAGATGTCCGTCCTACTGAGACTTGTTTTAATTTTTGTTTTGGAGGTGAAGGGATATGGTACCAACAATCGCCTAGAAGTTGGAAATAAATGAACGAGACATTGAGAAAACAGCAGTAAGAAGGGTATTATAATAGGCCAAAGAAAGCTTTGTGTTCAGACACCATAGGGGTAGGAGCATTAGAAATACCTAGCTACACAAGGCAGTGGTGAATCACAGCAGAGGGAACCAAGAAGCCTTCCAGTCCTTCTGGCTATACAATAACATGACTGGCTAACATGAGAAGTGCTAGTCTAAAAGTCAAGCACACCCAAACCACTAATCCTCTCCATTTGAATTACACATGGTGAGAATACCTAGCTCTTATATAGCACTTTTCATTGTTAGATGTCGAAACTGAGGCACAGAATGGTTAAACTAAGAGTGGGAACCTACTTCACATAAAGCAATATTTTCCATCTCCTTTCCCAACTCAGTATTTTCCATATTGAGGTGTGTTTAATGCTAGATAGTTTCTACCCCGACCTTCTCAAGAGAGTTTGGCCTGGAGAATTTAAGGAGGAATGTTGCTGATCCGTGTGAAATGGCATTTCCTTGTGGGCAAGGCTGGTAAAACTTCTCTTGGGCTTCCAAGAAGTTACCCAGATACATTGCTAACAAAAAGAAACTCATCTCAAGGTTTTGTAAACATTAACTAACTTTTTAAAAGCGTCCTAAAGCATGTTAATATAAGTGTGGAGGAGGCTGTTTACTTTGCATCAGCCTCACACTCTTTGCAGTGATGACATTGAAATGTCTCCATCCTGTGCTCGTTCAGCTCACTACATCCTTGCTGTGAAAAGACCTACTCTGTTCCACAGCACTCACCTGCAGGTTTTTTTGGAGACACTGAACCCCGGTAGAAGGTAGAGCCATCTCTGGCAACAGCCCAGACTTGGTGGAATGCCCCAATCGAGACCGACATGAAGGGCTGATCTGTTCCCACGTGAAGCCATGATGTTCCCTAGCAAATGACAAAGTATGATTTCAGAGTAACAGCCGTGTTAGTCTGTATTCGCAAAAAGAAAAGGAGTACTTGTGTATGCATCTGATGAAGTGAGCTGTAGCTCACGAAAGCTTATGCTCAAATAAATTGGTTAGTCTCTAAGGTGCCACAAGTCCTCCTTTTCTTTTAAAGTATGGTTTGGGAACCATTCACCTGTTGCAGACCTGAATAACACAGTGCGCCTGCTGGCTGATCAGCACGTGACGGGAAAAATCCTACAGAATGCAACTGGTTCTGAAGAGTAACCTTTATAGAACCCTATATGACTTAACCGACAAAGGCCTTTCCCTGGTTTGTTTAGATCAGAGGTGGGCAAACTACGGCCCACAGGAACCTCCTACCCAGCCCCTGAGCTCCTGGCCCGGGAGACTCGCCCCCGGCCCCTCCCCCACTGTTCCCCCACCCCTGCAGCTTCAGCTCACTGTGCTGCCGGCGCAATGCTCTGGGCAGTGAGCTCTTGTCTGTGGAGCCCTGGCCGGACCCGGTGCTCTGTGCTGCGTGGCGGCGTGGCTGGCTGTCCTGGTGCTCTGTGTGGCACGGCGGTAGCGGCCACCGGCGCTCCAGGCAGCGCAGTAAGGGGGCAGGGAGCAGGGCGGGTTGGATAGAGAGCAGGGGAGTTTAGGGGGGTGGGCGTGTGGATAGGGGTCGGGGTGGTCAGAGGGCAGGGAACAGGGGGATTGAATGGGGGTAAGGATCCCAGGGGGCAGTCAGGAAGGAGAGGAGAGGTTAGATGGGGCAGCAGGGGTGGGGCGGGTTTGGCGGCAGTCAGGGAGGGGTGGATGGGGCAGGATTCCCAGGGGGGCCATCAGAGGGTGAGAAGCAGGGGGGTTTGGATAGAGGGTGGGAGCCCGGCCACACCTGGCTGTTTGGGGAGGCACAGGCTCCCGTAACCGGCCCTCCATACAATTTCGGAAACCCGATGTGGCCCTCAGCCCAAAAAGTTTGCCCACCCCTGGTTTAGATTATGCTAGAGCAGGGATGTAATCTTCCGTTCAATTCTATGGGACTTTTCTATAAGCGCATTATGACTTTAGTTGTACCTAACAGTACAACTGTTGAAACAGAACTGGTAGAAAAAACAGGAAACATATTAATGAACATTTTTTTGAACTTTTTTTCATACTGGTTTTTCCAGAGTTTCGAGATGTCTACATTTAAATTTATATTAAAAAAAATGAAAAATTTCTACAAGCTCTAGATATGACTTTTGCAAAAATTAGTGCACATTTGGCCGCAATCCTGTAAAGCACTTACACATGCTTAACATTAAACATGCAAGCATCCTTCTGAAGTCAAAGGGCGTGTCACCAGGTGGACTGGGCCCTTTAAGGGTATGTCTATACTGCACACTTCTTACGGCAGCATGTGGAGTACATACACTGGACCCTCCATCCCCAGCACAGGTATGAATAGCTTAGGGGAATAAAAGCACACCAGAACCTTTGGGTATGTACCCCCTGTGGCTCTCTACACACCCAAGTAGTGCTTCCCACATCTGTGCTACTATTTTTAGTAGTGGGAGGGGAGGGTCCCATGCCCTCCCCGCTGCCAGACCCTTTCCCCATGACTTCCCCCCTGCCAGAGCCTCTCTCTGCCATCTGTAGCTACATGCTGCAGTGTGGACACAGCCTGCTTTTCACTGCCGTCTATAGCTACACCTAGCCTACATGCTGCCCCCAATGGGGTGCAGACTAGATATAGCCTAAGAGGATACTGATCCAGCCCACCTGTGCCTCATTAAAAGCCTTACAATGGGGCTAATAGAGAGCAGCTGGCCTTGCTGTAGAGCCAGAGGGGAGGCATGGTTCAGGGACTCAACTGATGCTTTAATGGACACCTGAGCCTTATAAAGGGACAGAGAGATCAGTCTGGGAGCAGAATCACAGGGACTGGTCAGTCTGGCTGCTCTGTGCCAGGGAAGGCACTGAGCCAGATGAGCTGCAGGAGAACAGTACTCTAGGGGAAATCAGGCTAGAGGCTGAGTTTTCTACACCAGAGCAAGGAGAAGACTCAAAGGAGCTCGGAAAGGTGCTGGAAACACAGCCCTGGGGTAGGCTGAAGAAAAGCCCATGAAGGTTCTTCTACCTTTTTGTTTGCTGGGACTTTTCAGTTCTATTTTTTTGTTACCCCCGAGAAGGGTTAAGTTTGTTTGTGAGGTGGCTAGAGGGCTAATCCACATCTCCAGCACTAGCCTGTCTGTGGAGTTTATTAAGAAGCCCTGAAAAAGAGGGAAACTGAGGTCTTCCTAGCCAGGAGGGGGCACTTGGGAGGCAGCTGCTACTACAGGGATGATTCACATGGGTAAGTACTTTAGTGGATGGAGGTTACTGTTTTGCAATGTCTATTATAGTCTGTAGGTAAATGTGAACCTAGTATTAATTATACTAGGCACTATAGATGTGCATGGTTTCTTATAAGAAACACACAGCACAATACAAAGCCCACTGAAGTTAATGGAAAGACTCCCATTGACTTCAGTGGGCTCTATATGGGGGCCATAGCTTGGCCAGGTTCCTGCCCTGAGCAGCTTAATATCTAAGTCAGATGGACATGCTACCAATAATTTGAAGAGAAGGCAGGAGCAGACCCCTCAGTGACTGAAGGGGAAGGAAAGGAAAGGGGCGGTAGAGAGACATGGGGTAGGAGAGGAGAGCTGTGTCAGGCACAGGAGACAGCATGAGTCAAGAGGTGGGGAATGAGCGCACCTCGGGGGGGTGGAGCAGGAAAAGAAGGCTGAGGGGTTAACGGGGGTTTACACAAGAGACAAAAACCAGTGAAGTGATTTGAGGGATACATGCGTGCACACGCTACATACATGCACTTTAAATGACATTTATATGAGAGAGGCAGTAACGAGAAAGTCTTACAGCTGGATTTTGCTGTGTTACTCCGAGTCTGCACAGCACGTCTCCCTTGTTGCTAACTGCCCAGAGTGCTATCGATTCTTCTTTGTCTGCTGACGAACTAGGGATTATGGCGATGTCCCACAGGGCGATGGGTGGCACTTCCAGCCAGGGTCCATGGGTGATTATTTTACATTTTCTAAAGAGGAAAACCCCCACAACCCTTTAGGAACACGCACTTCCTGTGAGTGGATCTGCTCCCAGGTTGACAGAATAACTCATAAGGGTGGGGGAAGTCCCCAAATCCTTTCATTCAATGGGTAATATGGAAAGCAGAGATACCATGCAACAAATATTTTCAGTTTGAAAGTGAGTTGACATCAACCAGGTTTGTGTTTCCAGGTTGAGTTCTGAAGCACTAGACACTGGATAACATTTATCAGGGTTTATTTTTTAAGAGCAACTTAATAAAGAAAAAACAGGCCTTCTTAGACTTTACTTCCTACCTGTCTAAACCTAGCCTACAACTTCAGGATAAAGAAAAACATTTCATCGTGTTAGTGGGAGAATCCATTGCTGAGAGCAGAACTCTGTAGGTGATCCGTTCCCTCCTCTCTACTGGCAATGGGAGTGACAGCTGGACTTGATTCAGGAGGGGACTGTCTGAAGGTAACACAGAGCATCCCAAGGGAGGGAGGCATGTTTGTTGGCTAAGAGCTGGCAGCCTTCCATTAAAGCAGTACAGAAAAAGGTTCTCTCTTAATGGGCCATTACAGAAAGCTACACTGCTCTAGTTTCCATGTGGAAATAAGTAGCGTTACAAATTAGGGAGGATACATTAGACTCTACAGGCAGAATGTCTACCTGCACCCAGCCCGGGAACACAGGGAATTTCTCTCTCCTCCAACCCACAAATCCAGGATCTAGCCCTAAGCAATCCCCTATTTGTTTTCAATTTTAATTTGTGCAACTGAAAGAGAGGAACGGTTGGGCTCAAGACTTTTCTCAACGTGTGTCAGTTATATTTGGCATCAGCACTTAGTTCATTTGGATTCAGTTCGTTACAGGACATACAGCAGAACTGTTTGTGGCCCGAGGGCCTCGCTGAGTGGGAGGAAGAGATGCTTGAAGCCTAAAACGTTGACTCTGCAGCCACAAAACAAGCACCAAACATCAAAGTATTTAATTTGTAGGCTCATAGTGCCTCATTAGTAAGGGTGTTTGATAGCTTAGCACAAGAAAGTGCATGAGGAAAACTAGAGTGATTCAGAATTGCCCCAGGTTCCCTCAGGAAAGAGCAGGGTACAGGGGTGCTTCCTGCTCAAGGCAGGATACAGTGACGTTTGATCTTTTCTGGTTCCATTCTATTACAGTAAAGCCTGGCTGGGAAGTCATCAGTTGCTTAGTAAGTAGGTGGTGCTGGTCACATTTATATTAGGACTCCATCTATAAGAGGGTTAAAGCCCTATTGTTATGTGTATTGTAGTGCCTAGGAGCCCCAGTCATAGACCATTGTGCTAGGTGCTGTACAAACACAGAACAAAAAGACAGTCCCTGCCCTAAGAGCCTGCAATCTAAGCATATGAGGCATGTGTTATAAATGGTTACAAGCAACCTACTGGCTTGGCAGACTCTCTAACATCATCTACTAATCATTTAACCACCATTTGTAAAGGGAGCTATAAAAGGGTGGTCTGCCCCTTTAAGGGCTAGAGGCCTGGGCCCAGCCAACCCTAGTTACTAAGGCTCATCTGTAGGGGGTTTAGCTGATTCCCTTGTAATGAGCAGCAGGAAGTGAAGGATGCTCAGGGAGACTAGAGTACAGAGGCTGCTGGGTGAAAGTAGGCTCCAGTAGAGAAAGCTGGGACTTGGGGAAGTGAGACTATGGTAGGGAAGGCCTGAGCGTGTCCTAATAAGGGGATAAATGGCTTATGAGAGCTTTATTTTGAATTTTTTTGTTTATTTAACAAACCAGAACCCGAAATAGGCTGTGACTGGACACAAGGGTTTGAGGTTTTGAAGAAGCCCCTTAAAGGGGAACACTGTGGCAGGCTGCCTGTAGGACTGCAGTCCACGAGGCGATACTTCGGGCGCTCTGTCCTGTGACAAGAACCTTGATCTGAACTGTGACCAGAAGGCTTCTACCCAGAGATCTCACACAGTCACAACAGAAACGTTGGGACACTTGTGTGCAAAGGTTGGAAGTGAAAAATGTAATTTAAGTGGTTGCTAAAGCCATGGGCTGCCCTGCTGGAGATGGGTTCTTCAGTGCAGGTTTCAGTGCTTTTGCCCTTTGTTAGTGGAGAGATATTTAAGGGACTAAACAGCTTGCTCTTAAGAAAGGAGCATGTCTGAATTCTAAACTTTATATCCATAACTTAATCCCTTACCTGGCCCAGCGTCTTCGTCGAACAAAATCCTTCATCGTCTTGTGGCCATGGTAGGATCTGCCAAAGATACGTGGTTTAATGCACGTTTGAGAGGACTTGGAAATACCTCACATTTCAGCAACGGCCTGTCAGCGCTGACTATGCTTCAGCCCAGCATTATTTTCCATGCAACTGTTCTGTACAAAGCTCTCCCTCACACCACACAGCGTTGTGAGGATACCAGGCATTGGCTTGCAACTGTAAATAACTATCCACCCTGGAGACCTCCCTGCCACTTAAGAATATTGGCAAACCCTTATTTTGCTGTGTGGGACTTATATTTCACCCCTCCTCCCCAAACGCCATGGACACTAATACTTCAAATCGATACGGTACTCAACACTGATTGTCCGCAGCTCTCTCCCCCTCATTTTGCAAAGGGGGAAATCAAGGACTCAGATGCCACCATTAAAGCAAAGCTGAAGTGCAAATCAACTAGTTTTAAATAATTGCTTGCACTGTGGTTGTAGCCAATCAGGTGTTAAACTTGGCATGGTCCTGCCAGGCTATTAGGTACAAGAAGGTAACTCCTTACGCTGGAAAGTCTGCTGCATACTGCCAGCCTTCCCGATCAGTTCCACCGGAAATGTTAAAATCAATATACCAGTCAGACACCTAGAGTCAGAAGGATAACGTGAATAGGAGCACAACAGAAAGTGAAGGCAGGGAGATCACCTTTCACCTCTTCTTCTGCACACTTTGCATTGTAATTGCTTGTATGGAATGTTCTGATAACAATACTTATAGTACAACTTTGCCTGTAGAAAACAACTTCATCCTGGGTCCCCAAGGACTTTAAAAACATTCAGGGTGGGATTCACAAAGGAGCCAAAGAGGAATTGGGTTGGGAGGGTGGGGGGACAATCAATCCTCTCAGAATCCCTAGGATGTAGGGAGATCATCTCCATTGTACCGATGAGGAAACCTGAGGTTAAAGTGACGCAACAGGTCAGTGGTAGAGCCAGGAATGGAACCCAGGTCTCCTGACATCTCTGTTCTGTGCCCGAGCAACTAGGCCATTCTTTTTTATTTTTAAATAAAAAATAGAAAAAAAAAATTTCAAGACAAAATTTACCCAAGACCACTGCGGGGATGGAGGCTTTGTGTTAACTTTTGTGCATTCTTGTAAGCCAGACGCGTCACTCCACATGTACCTGTCTGTGGGCAGCCCTCTGCAACACAAGTACAAGGAATAAAGAATGAGCGACAGTGAGAGAAGGATAAAAGATAAAGCTCTTCACCTCTGCCTAGCACTTCCCACGTCCACACACTGAACACTGTCTTCAATCACTAGACTCTCTTGAAGAAGGGACTGAAAGGAAACAGGTTTGCTCTGCAGCTCAGTTACCTGCCAAACACTGATCAAAGATCTCAAAAAACTGACTATTTTGCATTTAAAAACCAGGAGGGTGAATCTTGAGAATTCTGCCGTTTTCCAAAGTTTGGTGGAAAAACCTTTCCTACCCACCAAGGAGAGATTTATTGACTTCCATTTCATTAGACCCCAATGTCTTTAGATGATTATTAAATATGGTTATTAAATGCAGCATCCAGAGGCCCCAGTTAGGATCAGGGACCCGTTGTGCTTAGCACTACACGACACACAGGAAGACATGGTTCCTGACTTGAAGCGCTTACAATCTATGACCTTAATCCTGCAATGCGTTGCTTGCAGGTAGGTTTTGTGCCTTCCCAGGGGTGTGCTGGGGTACAATGCATTGCAGGATTGAGGCCTACAAAGGCATCCTTTAATGAAATCTAGCCTCTCAAAGCCCATGTGCCTTCCATCTCAATTTAACACATGAAATAAAAGTTTAAAACACCCTGACATTTCCCTTGACCATTATAAATGCACACACGTACCTGTTGCTATATCCTGTGACTGGATTCCACCGCTGGTTCTCATAGATATAAACACATTTCACATCTGATTGCATGTAAATATTATCGGCGCTGCTGGCCAATCCTGTAGGCAATAAATCACTCGGATTAAAAGCAAAGTTAAACATTAAAGAAGAAAGTTGCAATAGTTCAAAATTTTGCCAGGTGGAACTTTTATGCACATTTTATTGCTCATTTTTGAGCCAAAGATAGAAAGCTAAGATGCACAGCCTGCTTCCCTTGCAGAGATGGGACATGCCCATCACCTCATTCTACAGACTAGACACAATACAAAGATGGGGGATTGAAATTTTTTGTTCTGCTGGTGCCACGCAGGAGGTTAAATAGGGAATTTATACACCCTGGTAGAATAAATGTGTGTCATTACCTTGAATGAAGCCGCCTCCGTATCCCCCAGTATAAACCCAGGCCGTGTGATCGTAACCTATGCCCCATACTATGCCATGGCTATTGCACTCTATCAGGCGGAGATGCCCTCCAATCTGTCGCCAAAACCTGCAGGGAGAGAGAGAACATTTTACATGAACTCAATAGCGGAGTCAGTAATGGCACGTGTTCCCTGCCCTGCACCTCAGCCCTGACTTAGGGAGGGTTGGAGGACAGTTCAGTCGCTAGCTCATTCGGCCTCTATCCAACCCCGTGGGGAAGGCGATTGATGCCAATTAAGAATGTGCCTTTTGACTGACTCCTGTCAGTGGGTGGAAGCCGCTTGGCTACCTCAGCTGCAAGTCTGCAGCCTGTCAAACACCTCACTTACGTCTAAGTTTAACTTTGAATTTCCTGATTTGAACCATTGCTGGTTTGTTTAGAACAGTTAGCTAGGATATACTGGTGAGGATTTTCACTTTTTAGGTGTGGATATTTGCCCTCAGGTTCACTTCGCCCAGAAGCTTTTCCTCTAGGAATTTCCTTGGTTTAATACACATGGATTGATGGTCCTAATATGGGCCTGGGGGAAGGCAGGAGGCCAGAGGGGATTCTGTCACCTTCTGCAGGAGCAGAGTCTTATTTTCACATACTCAAGATGGACCCCCATGTCTGCAGCTCTGAGGAGGTGCCTAGCAGAGGGAAATCCCTTCCTGGGGACCAGGAGCCACGCAGGGTGTGGAGCATGTGTCTAGGGAAGAGTAGGGAAGGCAAAGGGACTCTAGAGGAACATGCCAGTGCGGAGTCTGGGGGAGTAGAAAAGAAGACCTGCTTTTACAGATCAGGAAGTGTGCAGGAGTAGATAAAGGCACCAGCAACCTGGCAAGCTTTAGGGCCTGAGTGGAGCCCCACCCACCTCTCCCTTCCACCGTTAGGACTCTGATGGTATGTCTACACTGCAGCTGGGAGGTGTGATTCCCATCCAGGGTAGACAGACTCCTACTAGCTCTGCTCAAGCTAGCATGCTAGAACAGCACTGCTAGCTACCTGAGCTCTGACCCAAGGGATCAGGCAGGCTTGGACTCCAGCAGCTACCCCCAGCCGCCCTCCATGCTGCAATCTCTCTCCACACTGCTATTTTTAGCATGCTAGCTGGAACTGAGCTAGTGCCAATCCGTCTACCCACACTGGGAATCGCACCGCCCAGCTTCGCTGTAGATGCACCCAAGGGATTTTTAGGGTTTCAGAAATCAGAAACACCTCGTGCAAGTCACTTCCAATTAGTAGCAAAAATTCTACTTGGCCCTTAACCTGCCAATTTTGAGGCAGATTAAGGGCCTCTTTGCTTTTGGACTACAGTGGTCAGGGCTGCAATATCATGCTTAGAATAGAAACCCAGCTGCTGTCCTCACTAGAGAGCATCTACCACCATTGCATGTGGGATTCAGAATTCTGAATCCCCTCACTTGGGTGCTATTCAAATCTCAGCCCTAATGAACGGAATGTTTCATTTACTCTAAAATGCCATCCACTAATTTGTGTAGGAGAATTTAGCACCCAACCCTGCAAGTCTTACAGGGCATCCCAATGAAATCAGATAGGAAACCTTGCAAGATCTGGCTCATAACATGCAGCTTGAGCATGTGAACATCAAAATGTAGCCTGAGGAAACTTCTTCATCTCACTTATGAAAACGAAGGCAACCCCATGTCTCTCTTCATCATTGGCTGACATCTACAGCACACCATGCGTTTCACACAACAGACCGCATAACCGCTGACATGCAATTAAAGAAAATTCTGGCTGCTTGAAATGCACAGTTGTGAGGGGAACTTTAAAACCATCTTACATTTGGTCACATGGCATCAGGTGTGGTGCGGCCTCTAATTCAGGACTTGGCTCGCTGACGAAGACGTCTCCTTTGCAGGTAACAGACCAGATGGCCTGGTGGGAGGGAGGGCCTTGAATCCGTCTGCTTTCACAGCAGGACATGCTCAGCAAAGCCAGCTACAATATAAGGAAGGAACAAAGAACGAGGAGGTGCATTTCATGGTGCGAACACAGGTTTTCCCTTAACGTAGGTCATCTATTGCTAGTGAAAGGAGGTTATCCTCATTGCCTTTTACAAATCTCCAAGGTGAACTAGCAGAGTTCAGATCAAAGGTGTCATGATTCATTGCTATCAGCATGATTTATCTTTCAGGATCCCCAGAGTCTTCACAATGTCTCTGTACACACACGCACACACACACCTTCCTCCTTCCCTCTCGCCACTGCTGAAATGCAGCCATTTTTGTGCCACAGAGACGCAAGCAGGCAGATAGACAGCTCAATGCACAAAAGTGAAGGAAAGTTTTGTCCCACTTGTTTAAGCTCTTTATGAGAAGTAGAATATCTACACAGCGCTGAGCAAACCTTAGTAGTTAAGGTTTGAATGCCTGTAGCCCTGCCCATCACACACAACTCCATTTCTCTGTCTCCAAAGAAGGGTAGGACTGAGTTAATCCTGCCACAGTTCCTGTGGCCTGGTCTACAGTAGGGGATTTTAGAGGGGACAAAAATCCCACGAGTGATCATGGGGTCAGCTGCACCACAGGTCACACCGGCACGAGCCCTAGTGGTGACACGCAGCGGCAGGTGTTTTCACTATGGTGTCAAGTAAACTTGGGCTGAAGTTTTGTAGCACTAGTGGTATATCTTCCCAATGTTTGCTAGTGCAGACACAGCCAAAGAGTCCAGAGGTTGCAAACCTGATGCTCAAACCTCACACAAACGAGGGATTAAGGAAGTCATTTCAAATGTAACCAGACTGCGTTAGAAAGTTGGCAGAGTTACCCAGTCATGCATTTCTTGTTCTGTGGCGGCTGCTAGACGAATTGGCCACCGCTGCTTTGTCCTCTCAGGTGTGTAGAGAGCGAAGGAGTGTTTGGCATCATTCAGAACTTCAACCAGAATGGTAACTTCATTCAGGAACACGTGGATGTACTGGCACAATACAAAGGGCATTCGTGAACAAGGCAAACTCCCATTAAACCTCCCCCACAATAGGGAAACCTTGCACAAATGGTCCCTGGTAAGGATGGCAGAGGGACTAACATTCTGCTTGGGAGAAAACCCACATTGTGTTTGGGAGTGCTTGTGAAATGGGGTTAGACTTACAGCCCTGGATGACTGAGGTCCTATCTACCCCCTCTACACCACTCTGCTAGTGTGTGTCAACCCTACCTCAGAGGGGCCCCCTTGCTAGGCCACAAAGGTTGGTTCTTTCTCCATGACCATTCAGTCTCTGGGCTGTCAACAAGATGGCTAATTGGTGTCAACCTGGTGGTGGCTTTCCCACTGAGAGCAGGATTATTTCTAACAGGCCCCTGAGACAGCCATCAGAGAGAAAAGACTTTCATTTGCTACTGGCCTGGGCCAGATCGGAAATGGTGACCTAGATGAGAAATCCTGTATCACAATGCCCACCCCATCTAGTCATGTTTTTCCTCTTGTCAAATGGGACACCAGCACTGCAATGTGCTTCTCGAATGCACCTTCTTCTCCTCATGATACATGTAATAGATGAACAGAATGCTGTCTCGCATGCCGTCATTCCCAGTGAACTGCTCCAGCACCACTCGCACATCTGTCCATTTCTGAGGCTTCCAGCTTCTCCACCATTGTAAGGTCCCCGTTTTCACCCAGACAGACTGTGGCAGAAACACAAGGTTACAAGGAGCTGCAAAGAGTTTTCTTGACACCCCCTCAACTGCTCGTTCTTTCTATACAATACCGAGAAGCTCTGACACAAGCAGAAGATAATGTGATCAGATGAAGGCTAACAAAACTCGATGGTAAGGAGGTGAGATGCCACCTTCAGAGAGTCGCCACTTCAGAGAGTTTAAAATCACAGAGAGAGTCTCTGACTTGGGAAAATACAGCAGGTTGTTTCTAACTGGGGTTAGAGTTAGAAACAGTGTTTCTAGAGCTTAAATGCTTTTAACATAATCATCTATTCAAACTGATTGAAAGTGCATACACCAAACTGTTCTATATTGAAACGAATTGTATTTTAATACTTTAAACAGGTGATATTGGATAACTCAAGTCTTAGAAAAGGAGGGGCCAAAATCCTGAATGAAATCTAAGAAGAGCCCAAGGAAATTTTGTGTGATATTCGAAGGGAAATATTAACTAGAAATCCTGTTATTCAGATGTTCTTGACATTATAAGCACTACTTATGGAAGCCGTGGTATGCCCCCTGGTGTTCACAGAGAACAAGCTCTCTCATTTATTGAAGTAATAAGGATATTCATGCAAACAGAAGGCCCTGAATTTGTGTAGTGCAGTAACTCACATGCATCTAACACAATTTAAAGGTGTCCTGGATTAGGGATTTCAGCATATTCAGTAACAAGTGCAACAGAGTCAGCCAGTGTTCTTTTTTATAGTATTAGCTTTTAGAGTGGAACTTTTCTACAAGAGCAGCTGTGACAGAGGTCTAATGGCTACTAGGGTTTCCAGTTAGAGCAACTTTTCCAAAGCACTCCAAGAGCTGTGGTAATGGACAAATGTGAACGGGGGCAAGGATACAATGCTTAATAACAGTAGGTTGCAGCCCACACACTGGACAGTACCATCACGGATGCCCAATCCTGTCAGATGTTAAATCATGATCAGAGTTAAAGGGAAGGAAACAGGAGGACTTTCACTTACCTGCTCAATAGCTTGTTCATAGTGTCTAAAGTTCTCCAGTTCCCGCTTGGTCCTTTCACTGAGCTGCTGGAAAATCTGCTTTCGCCACGCTGCTGTCTGTGCTGGACTGATAGACAGGGAAAGGGACTGCACAGAGGATAACAGACCTAGAGCAGAACCAACATGATGACCAAGTGAGCTTTAAACTCAATTATGTGAAGTATTAGATGCTCAAGACACAATTTGCTACTTCAAAAACACTGGGTGAAATGCCTCTGGTCTCACAGCACTATTGCATGGACACACTAGCCCCAGTGGCATTACCAAAGGGTCAGTGAGAATACTGCAAATGGTGCATAGAAAATGGATTGAAAGACTTATCATAAACTCCTCTCTATATTCCTCCACTAAATATAGAGCACCTATATGGTCCTAGGAGATGACCGTATGCTCTACAGATTCTGATACAGAGCTGAGATGACCAGTAAGACAAGACTAAGTATTGCGATGCCACATACTCACTAATTTGACAACCAACTTATTTGGAAATTTGACCATATTTCACTTTCTTCAAAAGCCTCCCTGTTCTAACCCCTCCAGGAGTCAAGGCTGGGCTCTCATTCAGAAAACCACCTTTCAGTTCCTCTTGCCATTAGAAAGGCTTACGATAGTGTATATCTCATCCTCGGATCACAAGGACTATGGTACCAGCAGGGCACTGTGGTATTTGTCTCTAAACAGGCTCCCTCCACAACTTGCTTTTGACTAGTTTTCAGTCACACCCAGGAGCCGTTTTATCCTGAGCTCCAGTTTCAACGCTATGGAGAGCTAAACAGGTGTGTGGAGTTCCGACAAACTGGATTATTCCCTGTGTAACATGTCTGCCAAATATGCAGAGAAATAGTCACTAACTACGTTCATAAAGTGCTTTACAGGTAGATATGCACAGCAGGAAATACCTTCTCTTCTGGGATGAAGGGTAACAACTATCTGGCATGCAGGATACTAGGTAAGAGAGTGGGTGGGAGAAGGAGGGATTATTTTGAGATAAGGACACGCTTAAAAAAATAAAAAAGCATGGTATCTTATTAGGCCCTGAGTGGGGATCAAGGCCCAGCTACACTGAGCTGACAGTACCTGACTGAAGGGTGAACCATTTCAGCAAGCTGTGTGAATCCACCAGGCAGCCTCCCCCACACACCCAAGCCCACAACGGGTGCTCATCAGCTCCATAATGTTCTTCAACTCCAACTGAGAACATGCCAAGGGAAGACAGGCTGGATGTCTCCGGGAAGGTGCTGGCAGCGAGCAGAGGCTTTTTATGGGCCTCCTTTAAGTCAATGTTTGTCCACTGCAGTTCTGCAGGATGGGGATCCTGGTCAGCAGAAGACTTGGGTTTTTCGAGACCAGCCTTCTCGCCATTGTCTGAAGCAGGGCTGGCTTCTTCGGGAGTAGAGTCCAGAGGATCCACAGCCAAGTTTGCACTCACTTCTGCTGACTGGCTTCCCACGCTGTTACCATTGACGCCAGCTGCAGCACCTGACAGGGGCATGTCATCAAGGTTTGGATGTATCTGTGGGCTCTCGGTATCAGAGGAAATGTCCGCATCGCTCTGAACGATCAAATTCATTTGCTCCCTAACGTCATCACTGAAGAAACAGCCAGCGCTTGGGGACAAACAGACAAGTAACTAATCAGCCACCATTCCCCGAATTATCAACCGGCACAAAGCCATAGAAAAGACCAGAGAACGACAGACAGAGATGGCTACACAATGAACAGCTGATACAAACCAGACCTTTTATGGTAAAAGCTTAACTCCATCCCCAAAGGAAGAGAGCCCAACGCATGGCTTTGTAGGCCATACTGGGAAATCCTTTTATGACAGCCTGTAGGGTTGGCTGCACAGAACTCTCCAGAATACCCCAAGTGTTAACACCCCAAGGCCCTGTCTTTTGGTTTACACATGCTGAGCAGGACTTTTTTGAGACTCCAACTGGTAGGAACAGAAGCAGCCAAAGCAGGGACTGCTGCATTTGGGAGGGGCAGAGGTAAAATATGGGTCCAGCCAGGCCCCTTTCTTCCTCCCAATGTGCCCTTGGCCCCAGAACAGTGCAGGGGAAACCCCACACACCTTCTGGGGGTTCTAGGGCCCATGCGGTGCCTCCTGTCTTTTCCATGTGGCCTTGGAGGAGAGGTGCAGAGAGAACCCAGCTAGAGACTCCAGCCCTTTGGAAGCAGAGACCTTTGGATGTTCCAGTCAGGACTACAGAATGTGCTGATCAGCTGTTTCCTTCAGCTCCCCGCCACCTTCATCTCAGATTCACTCCACAGCTACCTTCCCCTCCTACCCGCCCCCCACCCCTCCATTCCCTGTTCTATTTAGCCAATCCCCTCCTAACTCACTCCACCCCTCTGCCGGCAAATTAAAAAGAATCCTGGCATTAACACGATATTCGCTGCCATTACACTGTTCACTCTGCTTGTGTGTGCTAACCTTTCCCCCACCCTGTGTTTGTCTTATCTGTAAAGACAAGATTGCATCATTGTTTCCTTGCACTCCCCCTCTGTCTGCATCCATCTGTTGTCTTGTCTTATTCTCAGACTGCAAGCTCTCTGGGGCAGGGGCTGTCTTTTTGTTCTGTGTTTGCCTAGGACAATGGAGGCCTGGGGCTCCCAGGTACCACTAGCACAAATGAATAATAATAATATAGAGCCTATCAACACTGTGGTTTCATTCTCAACTGCAGATAGTTTCTGTTCAGCAACACGAGATGTTCTGAGCCCTAGGGCTCAGCACGTGGCTTCTCGCAGTGTTCCCAGCATGGCCGATGGGCCAACTGTCATCATGGAACCATTTGTTTACCCTCTCTGGGAAAGAAAGTGGCAAGATGCCACACAAGTGACCCCAAGAGGAGGATAATAGTTAAGTGGGGAAAACACCTCCAGGATATCTGGCAGGTAACATTTCATCCTGTTCTAGACTGGACCCTGGAATCTGAGGGCAAATCCCAGCTTAGCTCCCTTTACTGCCAGGCTGCACTGAATTCTCAAGTCAGAACATTGCCTCCCTCCCCAGAGAGGAAGAGTTTGCTGCTCACTGTTGCATTTTAATTGGAAAAAAAAAAACCCCAAACAAATAGACTTCAGCACCTGGCGAGAAGCCGGAACCATGTGCGGGGTTTGCTCAAGGTCACAGTGAGGAGCCTTGAACAAACTGGATGGATTGTGTTCACAGAAATACTCCTCATGCCCTGGCAGCACCAAAATCTGATGGCCTTTAGGGCTTGTGGACACTTTATTAGCTACCTGAGCAGACTGGTCGAGCTGCCGGTCTGAGACCTGTCACTCTCTCTGCCAGATACAATCGCCTTCCATGTCTTCCCGCTGAGCTCGCTCGGTGTGACGCCTTGCCGGAAATAAACAGCTCGATCCTCGCAGCCGATTCCCCAGACCTAGGGGAGAAAGGGGTCTTGACGGGGATGTCTGTGTATCCTAAGGGGATGAATGGCATGGAAAGCAGATGGGCATCAGCTACAACAGGGGAGTGAGAAGAGGGCAGTTGAGGGCAAGAGTCTTTCCTGAGTCGGGGTTTTCTTTGGGTTTGTCTCTAGTGCTGGTAGTTTAGGTGCAGTGCATCACTCCTGTATAGGGTTGATTGTGGGATGGGGGCTGGTTTGTACTCAAGTGTATCAGATGAGAGGCAGGTTTGCTGAACGTTCTCGCATTGCAAACCCCCAGTGCCTCATGTGGCTTTTGGCCGTTCAGGCAATTGGGCCCCTTGTTGGACTGAACATCCTGGCGTCCCCCGCGTGTATTCCGACCGCAAAGCTGAACAGTGATCCTACAGAAGGAGTCTAAACATGCTCATGTGTTCACACAATTGGTGTTCCGCTGCCTTACCTGGTCATTTAAGCCTACGTTTACCATCATCATTTCTCCAACCATTTCAATCCAGCTGGTGCCACATGGATTGTGCGAGTTCACACCTCTTCTGAACCACACCTGTCACAAGTTAAAATCCAAGTTTTGAACTATGGTACTAGCAGGGAGACAGTTAAATGGTTAAAGTCGTGGCTGGGAGCCAGGGCTCCTGCGTCTCATTCTCAGTTCTGCCATTGCCACATGGCCTTGAGCAACCAATAATACTTCAGTAGTGCCTTTGGTCTGAGGCTTCCAAAGCATCTTGCAGACTGTGGCACTGAGCCATTAAGAGACTTGCCTAAGGTGATACAGCAAGTCAGTGGCAGAGTGGGGAATAGAACTCCAAACTCCCAAGGCTGCACTATCACCTCCCTCGGGGTAGCACAGCATACACCGGCATGCACCTCAGACAGGGCAGTTATCCAGAACAGCTCTGACAATCCTACCCTGAAAAGGGACCTAAGAGAGTTAGGTTCCTAAAATCCCCTTGGCAGTTGGGTTTCAAAATCCCAGCAACAGTTTTTACTAGCTAACTCTTTCAAAAGTTACTAATACACTATGAGAACTTCAATACTAAAGAGCTGCTTTAGGAATGAGGGAGAAGCGATCAGATTCTCATTTGCACTATGGCCCCTTTACACCATTCTGGCAGTGCAAACAGGCCTTACGGTGGGAGGAAATGTAACACACCCACTTTAAGGCCCCTTAGAGTGCCAGGATGGTATAAATGAGAGGCAGTTCCATAATTTCTGTAAGGAGAACTTCTCTGAGAAGTTAGAGAGCAAATAGCTGACAAGGGTGAGCCAGCCAGTTCCCCATCTCTTCCCCTCAGAATGAGAGTTTCTCTGGTGCATGGGAAAATTCATTCTTTTATATCTCAATTGTAGGATGGCTTTTATCACATCTAAAGGCCCCTAACTACTAAAGGCGCCTAACTACCTCCAAGTCACCTCACCAAGCTTTTCAAGGGCTTTAGACATTTTATTATATTAAGTCCAAAGGAATAGGCTGTGTTTACTTTAGAAGTTGTTTGTTAAATAGTGGTTGGATTTTTAAATAATCAAAACATACCAAGTATTTAATCTCCTATTAGATTAGCTTGGTTCTATCTCATTCTTTACCAAATAAAAAACATCTAAAAGATTGTCCACGAGAGAGATTTTTCCAGTTACATTAGTATAGCTATAGCAGTTTAATTATACGAGTATAAGTGTGTGTGGATGTTCTTATTCCGGAAAAAGACCAACTTCTTACGTCTTAATTTAAACCACTTCCAAAACAACATAAACTAAACTGGAAAAAGACACTCATATTGGACTAAGAGTGCCCACACAGGGAGTTATCCTGGTATAACTACAGAGCTTTAAATTCACCCCCTATATTATACCGGTATAAAGTCCCTGTCTAGACAAGCCTTAAGCTATACATGCTATTGTATTGTACTAATAAGGGACCTCATGTTTGTTATTTAACTTCAATAAAGTTATCATCAATAAACCCTGGAAACTACTAATTTGCAGTAAGAACCTGAGATAATTACGCTCTGTTGGTGCTTAGAACCAGTGATTTTTTTCCAAGTACAGCAGATATTTGTTATTAGTCAGCCATGCAGTATAATATAGGTAAAGGGGGTTTATTGTCATCAGAACAACAGACTATCTGGGATTTGCACAGAGACTTGAAGTTGTAAACACAATGAGCAAACACATGCACATACATGGGCATCCTAGGTAAGAAGCCAAGATTGAACCATAATTTTTGTTTTGTTTTGTTATAAAGTATAAAGTAGGGACTGAATATTGCCTTGTTCCCATAGGTGGGATTTGCTATATTCTGTCCTGGATCAGTAACAGAAAGCACTACTAGATGGAGGGATTGGTGACCTTTATACGGTCAAGTATTTTGCTAATCACCAGGTTTAGAAATACACAATAGACTTTATCACCCAAGGCTAGAGACTAATGCTTTACCTATTCTGACTACCGAACCTGCCTATTTCACAGTGTGCTGGGGCTATAAACTCTTTGGTGAAAAGGCATTTTGGTTTTGGGACTGGTATATATTTCCAAGCTTTGAATCTGTACCAGTGATCATCAGCTAGAGACAATCAAGATGCCTGTGTGAAATAAGCAGTTTTCACTCTTTCCAGGGGGCTCAAAAACCACAGCAGGGGAAATGGCTGTACATCTCTCAGTCTCGGCCTTTCTGTATTCTTCACTGTGAATTCCACACTCTGCCTTGCTCCTTGCCTCCAGTTTCTTTTCATATCCCCGTTATCGCTACATGCCACTCTACTGGCCATGTTCAGATGTAATACATGACAACCATCACTGAGCAGCTGTGAAGGAGTCCCAGCCTTGGGTTGTGAAACTTCCTCTTACACTCATTTGCTGCTGCTTGACTTGAGTTTGGCCTATTGTGTATAACATTATCCTAAATGGGCAGCAGCATGCTGTCGAGCTGGAACCTATTTCTGTTCTGGGAGAGTGACTGAGCAGCCTTCTCAGAGACATTCACACACCCGTATGCCTCTTGGTGGTTCAGTCACTAACAGCCACACAGCACACCTGCAATTTTGGGGCACTGGAACTTATCCAGCAAAGGGAGCAAGAGATCCCAAATCACTGACATTTCATAAGCTTGCATAGAAGAATAACATACTGTAAATGTACAGGGAAGAGAACCAGAAATGTAGCTCCAGGCCTCTTACTTTTCTGTCTTTAGTAACTGCCCACACCACATTTACACCCACAGAGATGTGCAGGATCCCATTTTCAGAGCTTGGGGGTTCCACAATTGTCCAAGAAATTCCTGCCAAGTAAAACAAGGAGACATTGTTCATTAGCCTCTTGTTTTCTCTACAAATCAAAGCGACTTCCCTGCATGGCATGATGGGGTTTTACCTTGAGGATTATTTCTATCAATCCCTTCTCTCACAATAGCTTGCCCCTCCCAAAGTGTTGCCCATAGGAGGTCATATGGTCCACAGCTGATCTGTACTGCTTCTCCGGGGGTGGCTATTAAGGACCACCAGGAGCCTTCTGGATTGTGGTGGCAAACGTCTTCTCTATACCATACCTAGGATAGACACAAAAGCCTTAGAAAAATGCTACCCTAATATAAACAATCAGAACTTTTCGGGCAAACAGATGTCCAGCCTGACAGAAAGGAGAGAACCATTCTTCTCTAGCCAAGGCTCCTTTTATAGCATTTGAACTCTCACCTTTAAGTGGCATTAGTTGAGTAGATTATACAGCTGCAGACCATTTCCCTGTGTATCAAGGGAGGAGGCTTTTCTATAGACTAGCTTTTATGACGCAAGCCAATTTGGACTGGGCCCATGATCTCTTACCACACGATCTGTGTGGTTTTTCAACATTCGGAGCAGTTAAATATAATTCAAGGCACATTAAATAAACTTAGAACCATTGAATCGTATGCTAAGAATCCTTCTTCCTTAGGAAAATATGCAGCATTCACACACCCAGGTTACTGCTATACATAAAAAGTCATGATTTGGCATTAACTGTAATGAGCTATCCATTTAGACAGACACCGTTTGTGTAAGGGCCAATACCTCACCACCTTCATAACCTTTGATGGTGTCCAGCCCAACATTTACGAACAGCAGAGAGAACATGCCACTTTAAGGGTTTTGTACTTCCCAGTCCTGGTCTCTCACATGTGTTTCTCCACCTTATGTTTGAGAGAACTTGGTGGGAAGGTTCAATATGGAGAGAGCACAGAGCATTCTTAGGCTGATATTCTCTCCTTGTGGTGGACAGTGAGCACAGCCCCGCATGTATTAACAACATTTTGCTTTGGCAGGACTTCCACTTTGGGGAACCCAAAGCACTTTAATGTTAATTACATAAGCCTGTAAGGCAGGGAGCTATCATTTCCACATGGGGAAACTGAGGCACAGGGAGTTTTGGTTTTTTAAGTGACTTGCCCAATGCTACACAGCCAGACAGTGGAAAAATGTGAGTAGACCCTAAGAGTATTTGTTATATGAGTATTGTTAGTCTACACTCTCTCAAACATCTAAAGTTACTTCTAGACCTGTTAAGACACAAGTTAGGGATAGACCATGGCTAGAAGGATGGCAGCTAAGATATGTACCTAAGAGTGAAGGATGGAAATCCTTACAGCATGGGGAAGGATAAAACAGACTTCATCGTGGGCCTAAGAACAGGATGGGAGATACATACTCTTTTTGTCATTTAATATTATATAAAGTAAAACCTTGCCAAGGCTGCATTCCAAGACTACCCTATTGACAGCTCAGGAAGGTTTAACCCGTTAAGCAAACTGAACTTTTCCCTTTCCCTATTCAACGCAAGAAAGGGTGAGCAAAATTGGATCCTTTCTATGGGTTCATTTTTCCACACTGAAGAAACACTCACCTATGACACAGCACCTCTAAACTCTCCCTCTCTATTTTGATATTAAGCAGCATCAGTCAACAGCCTATCACAGAAAGGGTTTTATTTCCATGTCCCCTGTCAGCCGTGCCAAACAGCAAAGATCCTGACTAGCGTATGAAGGCAATGCTTTAGCTTGCAGCACATCTGTCTGGGCTTAAACACTGAGATTCACAGCCACCTAGTCAATTGTGATCTGGCCTTCAGATATCATCCCCCATCCCCGCAACCTCATCACCAGAAGCAAGCTTCTTATGGACCAGGACCCATCAACGCAAAGTGGTACCAGACCCTTACCATAACAACAGATGCAAAACCTGCAGGTATATCTCCACTGCTATGATGATAAATACCTACCTGCAACACACCTTCCAAGAAGCACAGGTCCTACACATGTCTGTCATATGTGGTGTACCTCATCCAATGCACTAAATGCCCCAAAAACAACTAGAAGGGTAAAACCAAACAATCACTATGCTCTCAAATGAACTCTCACATAAAAATGATAAAAGAAAAAAAAACCACATTAAAGGGCGAACATTTTTCACAAAATGATCACTCCATATCTGACCTCTCAGTCCTTGTCCTCAATGGAAACCTGCACAACACCTTCAAAAGATGAACCTGGGAGCTCAAATTCATAACTTTGCTAGATACTAAAAATCATGGTCTTAATATTAGGGTATGGCTACACTTGCAGAGCGCTTTGAGTTAAACCAGCGTTCGTAGAGTGCAGCAGGGAAAGCGCTGCAGTCTGTCCACACTGACAGCTTCAAGCACACTGGTGTGGCCACATCTGCGGCACTTGCAGCAGCATTGGGTGCAGTGCATTATGGGCAGCTATCCCAGCATGCAAGTGACTGCAACGTGCTTTCCAAATGGGGGGGTGGGGTGGAGTGTGACAGGGAGTGTGTTGTGTGTATATGGGGGGAGAGAGAGTGGATTTTGGGGGGGCTGAGAGCATGTTAGTATGCTGTCTTGTAAGTGCAGACAGCAGCAGACCCCCGTCACCCCCCTGCGCCTCTCTCCCACACACAGCATTCCACACTAATGGCTTGCTTTGTCTCAGAGCAGATAAGCAGCCGACTGTCAGAAATGGAGCTTTCAAAGGGCATTTCTGCATTCCTACAGTGATTCAGAAAACAATGACAAGAGTGGCCACTTGACGTAAGGGGATTATGGGACATTTCCGGAGGCTGGTCAGAGCGCAGTAATGCAACACCTCGTCCACACTGGCGCTGCGGTGCTCCAGCGGGGGCGCAGCAAACGTTATTCCACTCGCCGAGGTGGAGTACCAGCAGCGCTGTAGCCGAGGAGTCAGAGCGCTCTACGTGCCTCGCCAGTGTGGACAGGTAGTGAGCTAGTGCGCCCGGGGCTCCTTTATTGCAAGTGTAGTCAAGCCCAAAGACACTGGATTGATACCTCAGTACAACTACCTGTGACCCATTAACATCCTCTTTTTGCCTGATGACAGAGGTTTTAATGGGCCACTTCACCTTGAAAGGTCTCTTAGAATATGTGTTAACTACGAATGCTAAACCATCTGTTCCACCTTGTATTTAGTGGTGACACTCAGAGTACCTTTCCCAGCCCTGAAGAAGAGCTCTGTGTAGTTCCAAAGCTTGTCTATCTCCCCAACAGAAGTTGGCCCAATAAAAGATATTACCTCATCCACCTTGTCTCTCTAACACCCTGGGACCAACATGGCTACAAAACCACTGCAGATAAGGAATACACACACACACACACACACAAGTTATACCCTTCCTTGTAAGGACACCACCCAGACCGATAACCGGCCCATGGGCTCGTCAGTGATTTCCCATCCTCCAATTGAGATATCGTTGAAAGGATCTGGCAATTGATTAGGATCATCATGGGATGTTATCTAAAGCAAAGAGAGGGAGAAAAATTTAGAGAGCAGAAGTAGGAGACCTGACCCCCACATATACCTGCTGGCTATTTGGCTATACTCTGGTATGAGGGACTTATCTCATTTTCTAGCAGACAAATCTTTGCATCACAAAGCCACCACCTGGATGCCAAATGGTTAGGCATAGAGGATGGACTCCCTCTCTCACTCATGGCTGCTTCTTCAGATCAGACACGGTGGGGCCACATTTGTGGAGCAGCATGGAAGAAGCCTGCACTCTTGCTGCTGGGGCTGTTCTTATGTAAAGCCATAGACTTTTGCTCCCACACCTGTCAATCCAGCATTACAGTCACTAAAATAAATAATCTATGTTTTTGTGTGTACTCTCATTAGTGCATGCAAACAGCAATCACACATGCCTGTAGGGCAGACAGCGAGTGGACTGACACCAAATGGCTGCCATGTACTGGGAAAAGTCCTGTTAAAAATGGAGCATGTTTTTTCATCACGTAGCATTAGCTGCCTGTGGACAAGTGATCAGAATTCCTCTCTCTGCCTATGTCTCCATACACAAGATTGTGAATCAACACATGTCATATCCCAGACAAAGATCTGAGGGCTGGACTGAAGTGCTTTATGTTAGAAAAGAAAAAAAATTCAAAGCTATGGTGGAAATTTTCAAAGGCACCTAAAATAAATCCAACTGAATTTCAATGGGATTTGGGCATCTAATTTCCTTATGTTCCTTTGAAAAATTCCAGCCTTGAATTTGTAATGCTTGAGAGAGGTGCTAGATCAGCAGCTGCAGAGTCCAAGGTCCTATCTTTGCTGACAGCACACACCACAGTGACAGCAGTGCAAACTTCCCCACTCTCATGTCATCACTTCGTTCATATACACTTGAGCTAATAAATAAAAAAACAAACATAGAAAGAGACCTTTGCCCAAGTGTCTCGTGACTTGTATCTCCTGTATCTGATCCACCTCCTACGTCGGACACAGGAATTCCATTTCTTATCCTTTGTGTAGGTAGCTGGGAAGTCAATGGCATACGTCCAACCCTAAAAACAGAGGTTCCTTTCATAAAGATTGGGAGCAGATGGCTACAGTAAATAGTAGCTCAGAACAATTCTTCACAAGGATCACTCCTACAAACATAATACAAATTACTTTGCACATACATAGGGGCTTTTATCTCCTAACTCTATAGACATTCATGAACTATTTCTCAACTCCTCTGCGCAATGCATACAGGACAAATAAGATATAGAAAAGCATTTTACTTTTGTTATAATAAAGATGTTATAGTGAATAACAGCATCCAATTGCTAGTACTTCAAGGCCTGATCCAAAGCCCGTTGAAGTGAACGGACAGACTCCCTTTGGTTTCAACAGCCCTTGAAAAAGATGCCTCCAACACTATACTATAGCGATCTCCATTCCCAGCTGTGGGAAGATGGGAGGTGCCTCTACTTTTACAGAGTGGATTCCCAGAATGGATCCCTTGCCGGTATTGTTCACCTACCCCTTTCTCTGTTGGTTCCCCTCCAATATTTTCATCCACATACCAGTCAGACTCCCATTCCCAGTGCGGCGATGGCAGTGTGAAACTGTCAAGCTGCTGATGTTTTAGCCCGCTCACGTCGCTCCATTGCCAGCGATCACTGGGCATTAATTTCTCACAAAAGCCACCAACCGGATTCCAACGCTGCCAGAAAGGAGACAAATTGCACAGGTCAGGTCTTTAAGGTCATGTAACCTTGGGGATGTTCAGATGTTCCACACCTCAAGAGAAACGATCCACTCGGGAAACAAGAAGGCATCCAAACACTGGCTACTGGCTAATATCTTTGGAGGGAGTATCTTTCAGATACCAGCTACTGGCTCATACACTCTTTAAAGAGTGTGTCCTTCCTTTAATGCCAATGCTAAGGAGGACAAGGTGGATGAGGTCATATCTTTTATTGGACCAACTTCTATTGATCAGAGAGACAAGCTTTCGAGCTTACACAGAGCTCTTCTTCAGGCTTGTCTTTCTCAAGATTCTCAAATTCTCAAGAAATTGGTCCAATAAAAGATATTACCTCACCCACCTTGTCTGTCTAATATCCTGGGACTGACATGGCTACAATTACACTGAATAACGCTAAGGGGGAAAGTTACTGCAGGCAAATGCACGATCTTCTCTTCATTTTACAAGCATGTGGTGGGTGTCATTCTAATTGATGCCATTCAATTGTTCACTCTATTACCAAAGATCATGGAATAATAAACAATAAGATGCACCATCAAGTGTTCCCATTCACATACTAGAAAGCATTATTGATTGGGGGACCGTCTGCAGCATTTCATTTCTAGCATACTGGTCTAAGTTCAGCTCGGCCTGGTAGCCAATAAAGGCCACCACATCAGACAGCCATCAAGTGGCCATGGATTATGGGGCCTTAGTCCAATTCCTAATGGAAAGGTGACTCAGGGTATGTCTACAATGCAATTAAAAACACATGCCTGCCCCGTGCCAGTGGACTTGGGCTTGTGGCGCTCAGGTTAAGGGGCTGTTTAACTGTGGTGTAGATGTTTGGGCTTGGGCTGCAGCCTGAGCTCTCTGACCATCCCATCTTGCAGCGTCCTAGCACCTGGGCTCCAGCCCAAGCCCAAACATCTGCACCACAGTTAAACAGGCCCTTAGCCCAAGTCAGCTGGCACGGTACAGCTGCGAGTTTTTAATTGCAGTATAGACATACCCTAAGACTTTGTCCACCCTAGAAAGGGTTTGCTAGTATTCCTCTACAGACACTCCCTGGGTTACGCAATCGTTCCGGAACGCCTTGCATAACTCAAATTTTGCATCAGTCAGAAACGTATACCCGACTGTTATGCAAAAAGACAACAATAATAAACAACCTCTTATTTCTAGCTTACGGGACTTTTTCCAGGTTTCAGAGTAACAGCTGTGTTAGTCTGTATTCGCAAAAAGAAAAGGAGTACTTGTGGCACCTTAGAGACTAACCAATTTATTTGAGCATAAGCTTTCGTGAGCTACAGCTCAATTTGCAAAAGTCGGGTCTTGCGTAACCAGGTACGCGTCTGTACCAGTAAACCCTCCTAGTGGAGATACAGCGAATAACAGCAATTCTTTTGCTCGTTTAGCTTACACCAGTTCTCCTAATGAAATAAACCAGTGGTTTTCAAACTTTTTCCATCTGCAGACCCCCAAAAAATTTCAAATGGAGGTGCAGACCCCTTTGGAAATTCAACCTGCAGTCCGCAGACCCTACCATAGATGTCTTAGACTGAAAACTGACTGAACAGAATTCAACTATAAATGTTACATGGGCTTGGCACAGCATCTGATGCAGCATAAGAAAGGGCAGTAAACTGTGGGTTTCTATGGTAACAACACTTCCAGGTTTTGACCTGTAGGTGGGGATATTCACATACTTTTGATTGATCCTTAGAGGTGTCCCCCCAAGGTCAGAAGCTGACCTGCCACGTTGCTCTCTACACTGACTTTGGTTTCCAATGCTGTCAAACCTGCCCAAGTTCACTTACATAATAATAATAAAAATTCTGAAGGACCACACACAGCCCAGTGCTTTAAAAAGAAACAAAACAAAAAAATCCCCACAACAAAGAACCTTAATCAAATAAAATTGCCACGAAGTTTTACCCAACTTGCTCTCCCTCAGTGACATTGGGCTAGTCCACAGCCACTCCCTTGTCTGGTTTCAGACCTCTTATGTGCAAAGATCGTAAACGATTCAAGATGTTTCAATATTGGTTATAGTGTATACAATATTATTAGGCTAAACTCCTTTGCACATTCTTTATCCATTATTCAAGGTCTGATAGCTATGACTTTTTTAGTTTGTTCCCACAGAAAAGTTTCACATCTCCGATTTCTATTTTTCATGGTTTAGACCAAACAAAGGGAAGAACGCACAATTTACAACCCAGATAACGCATATTTAACTGAGATCATTTAAAATGTTTTCATAAAAGGAGGAATGTTCTAAAATACATTCCATAAGATACAATGCATAATTATATCAATGTTAGACAAAATATAAAAAGGTCAGGAAAATATGCCTTCCCCTGCTTAAATATAAACACAGCACTCTATACTACATTTATCTAGTAATACCTTAGAAAGCAAGAGAAACGAGAAAAAAATCCTTTGTTTGTAGCTCTAGAATGATTTTACTAAATACTGTATATGAAGTGGGGGGTTTTTTGGGGGGGAGGGCTGTTTGTTTCTTTTAAGAAAAGCAATTAATGAATTCACTCTGTTGAAACATCCATTACAGAGAAGCCCTATAAAATGTGACAATAACATTTTTTACAGGTTTTTTTAAAAAGACATGGTTGATTTTAAAAGGGAATTGTATCTGGGGAATTTTTTTTTAACCTATAGAAATGAAAACATTATCTAAATAACTCTATAGGCTTTGTTAGTGTTAAGTTCCACGTGACTTTTTCATAAGGGAACGGGTATTGCTCACTGATGGAACTAAAACATCAGACTTAGAGACTGAATGACCCCCAACTGGGATGGCCAGTGCTCAAGAGGACACTATTTTCAAGGGGAAGAAAGAGGAAGGATTTAGGGGGACATTTAGGATCTGCTCTTCAGAAATACGCATCAGGGATTAAAACAAATGAATAAATAAATAAATACAATCCCTGAACGCTCAGGATGGTTCACAGTACCCAGAGAAGGGAGAACTCCACCCAAAGCTAGGGATTCCTTCCCTAGCTGCCACATTCACTTTGAACCCCAAATATGAGGTTCCTCTTGTCTGCTCTTACATTTACACATTACACAACAACCAACCTTACTACTGGACCACAGATCAGTCTGGACAAGTAACCAGATCTCTCACTACCAACCCTCTCTGAAAAGCACACGGCAAGTTTAACAGATGTGCTCATGACTTTACATACCTGATTCTCATAAGTTTCTTCCTGGTATCTGATTGGAACATCACTTGAGAATACGTAGGCATATACCTGGTGATCACAAGCTATTCCCCAGCAGCAATGTTTGATAGCAGAGACTCGTTTGAATTCCAGCTGTCTGTCTTTACAGAGCTCCCAGTACTGGCCGGCTGTAGAAAGAGTGTAAACCCTCCCAAAGATATCAACTGCCCACAAGAGGGAGTTGGGCGTAGCCATAGCTGAAAGGCAAAGGAAGAGGTATTAATGCAGAGGCTAATTTTTAAGAGGTGGGTTCAAACCCCACTCCCAGTCCAACAGACCCAGAAACTGAACTGAATATTGTGGGCCACTCGCCAATGATACTAAACTTGAGAACAAAGGATGATATTTTCAAAGGAGCTTAAGGGACTCATCCATCCAAATCCCATTACCTTTCAATGAGAGTTGGATACCTAACTGTCTTAGGGTCCTTTGGAAATCCCAGCCCAGGGGATACCAACTGGAATCTACATTGCAAACCCTTCCAACACAATTAGCAGCAACAATCTCAGGCCAGGAAGAAAAGCCAAAGGTCAAATGGATACATGGGGCCTGAACTGCTCTCACCCCAGAAGAGGGACCTCCAGGACTGGGCTAAGGCACATTAACTAGGCAGCATGGTGGAGTTTGTGTTGCTACTGCTCTCTGGCTAAAGAGAAGATTTCACTCTCCCGAGCTGTACGCACTCGGTGTCCAGGACCACACAAAGTCACAGGAACACCTCATCAGTCTCCTCCTGGCACTGGCTGAGATGGCCTCCATCAATCCAGGAAGAGGAAGCTTGACAGGGAGATTCTCTGTGACTGTGTTGCTTACTTTCAGTTCCTACTTGTCTCTGGCAGCATTCCTCTGGAGCCTTCATGGAGCAGTAGGGGCTGTCCAGGGTTCTCTGCTGGGTGATCCAGAGTTCCCCCATAGAATCACAGAAGTGTAGGACTGGAAGGGACCTCAAGAGGTCATCTAGTCCAGTCCCCTGCATTTTGAACCTTTGACCCCCCCCCCCATCCCATTCCTGGTTGATCATTTGGTGTCTTACAAACTCTTGTTTTCTGGGCTCTGTGGCCCCTCTCTCAACTGAGGAGGCAGACCTTTTGTCCTTGTAATGGGATACTGGTCCTTTAAGGCCAAAGAATGTAGCTACCCTGTTCCATGTGTCCAGGGAAGAATAATGAAGCCATCACTGGAAGAGACAAAAATGATCCCCAGAGCAGTTAGTGCTGGGGAGAGGAAAGGTCTAGGGCTATCCCAGAACACTGTTCCTTTAAGGGTCTGTGACCAGGAGCTTTGCAGAGTGAGTGGGGCAAGGCTCCAGTGTCTCCTAGCCAACACAGACAGGTGTTTGGGGTTATTACACTCACCTGGGAGAAGCAAGAGACTGATTAGTTGACTGTGTGGGAAACTCAAAAGAGGATCCAAAGCCAGGCTAGTGGAAGAACCTAGGTGGGGGCTGTGAATAGCTAAACCGGAGCAGAGAGTCTACAGGCCAGGACTGAAAACAGTCCCAAGAAGGAGGATTGGGAGACCTTGAATCTGAGGGGTGAGCAGAAAGGGGCCCTTTGGAAAGCTGAATGACATTTAATAAGTTAGACCCCCAAGTCAGGGGAATATTGTTTCAAAGGCTATGGGTGTGACTGGATTATTCTGGGAATTTGGAGGGAAAGTGAAGTAGGGTGCGCAGTAGACCTCCCCAGGTCATGGGCAGGATGTTCTGGGATGGCACCTGTCTGCAGTCTGACATGGAATTCAAACAGGCCAGCACTAAGTTTATTTCAAGAAGGATAAAGACTTATTTCTGTGGGCATGTGCATCTCCCACCCCTGGAGAAACAGTGGAGAGAACTCAGAGCCACTCATTCTATGGGAAAGGTGGGATTCGCCTATGGGAACTGCCAACCCAATTTTTTTTCCTGTTGTGCAAAGTGATACGCAGGCAGGAAGCAAAGGGGAGAAGAAAGTAAAGCCCAAAACAAGGAGAGGAAAAGAGAAAGCACTGCTTGGAAGCAGCACACGCTATTGTTTCTTTGCCTGTGAAAGGGCAACTTGCTCTCACGGGAGCCTAAGGAAACTAGCCTGCTCGCCTTCTCACCAGTAACTAATAGTGATGGAGGCATGCTGACTAGTACCACTCTATTGTGTCTAATGGGACATAAAGTTGCACAGAGTAGAGACAAACATGTATCAGCCAAGGGGGAAGAGATGAAGGGCAAAGTTCTCCTGTTAGTTACAGCAGCACGACTCCAACTGAGTCCAAGAGGTTACCCTGCTGCTAGAGAAGCTCTCTCTAGGTTTTAGCTTATGCCTAACTTTTGCAAGAGTAGCTGCATTGATACGGACCCCAAGTGCAGACATGCATCAGCCCAGGTGTGGCATCTTCATACGTAGTCTAGCCTGTCTTTCTGGGGATCTTAATCTGAGCCCAGACCTCCCCCTCTGGTTGTAGCTCATCATCGCTACTATTTGTCATGAGCTGGAGACGTTCAGAGAAGCTGCAGTGATGAGGGCCATAGAGGTACTTACCATAAAACAGACAGAAGGATAACCTTATGTTTAAGGTGCAGCACTAGGAAATGGGTGATGTGTAAAACCTCCCATCTTATTTTGGGCAAGTCATTTCACCTCTGTTTCCCCATAGGTAAAATTGGGATGATAATTATCTCACCAAGGCTTGTGTGTGTAATGTTTAAGTGCTTAGAGATCTTTGAATGGAAGGTACTGTGCAAGTATGAAGCATTATAACAACTATATGGGGATGAGGGCCAGATCTATAGTGTACTGCATGCATCACTGGAAGAACAGAGCCCAAGATAAGGAGCCTTTTCAAATTAGTGTTAGAAAAATACTGCAGTGCAAGTTACATTTTCTAAGTAAGAAAATTTGAATAACTGTCGAGTAAAGCAGAATGACAAAGATAACCAGGCTAATATTCTGGGATGTAATACCAGGAGGGTCATATGTAAGACACAGGGAGTAACTGTTCTACTCTACTTGACTCTGGTGAGGCCTCAGCTGGAGTACTGTGTCCAGTTTTGGGACACTATATTTTAAGAAAGGTGTGGAGAAATGGGAGAGAGTCCAAAGGAGAGCAACAAAAGTTCTAGAAAACCTGACCTATGAGGAAGGGTTTTTAAAGATGTATAATTTTTTTTTTAAGTCTTGAGAAAAGAAGACTGGGGTGGGGGGACGACTTGATATGTCTTCAAATATGTTAGAGGCTGTTATAAGAAAGGAATGTGATGTCTCCATGTCCAGTGAAGGTAGGACTAGAAATAACTGGTTTGATCTCCAGCAAAGAAGATTGAGGATAGATATTATGAAAAACTTTCTAACCATAAAGGTAGCTAAGTACTGGAATAAGCTTCCAAGAGAGATTGTGGAATCCCCATCATTGGAGGTTTCTAAGAACAGGTTAGACAAACACCTGTCAGGGGTGGTCTAGTTATATTTGGTCCTATTACAGGGGGATGAACTAAATGACCTCTCAAGGTCCTTTCCAACCTTACATTTCTTTGACTGATCTCAGATCCCCAACCTGCTGGATCCTGGGTGGAAAATGACTCCTCATGGATAACTCAAGATATCTGCCCGGAACACAGTAGTTTGGGTTTCTTTCTTTTTTTTTTTTTTTAAAGTGGAATGCTTGGGAGTCTTAAGACAAGGAGGACAAACAAATATCAATCCAGATATGGAGGGCTCTCTGTCCAATGCTGGTTAAAGATAGCATAGAGATTGAAAAGGTTCAGAAACAGGCAACGAAAGAGCTTAGCAAAATGGAGGGATCCGTACACAGTGAAAGATCACAAAGATTATTAAGGCTACTTAAACCAGGAAGAAGAATTAGATGGAACTAGATTGAGGTATGCAAGAGTAAGGATAGAGGGGAAAACTAGTAGTTCCTGTTTACTCTGTGTTATTTGAGAATAAAGGGTGTGACAATGAACTGAAGGGCAACAAGTGTAAAGCCAACTGAACAAAAGACTTCAGGTAAAATTTTCACAAGTATTTACGAGTTTCAATTATTTTTGAGAATTGGATTTAGGAGTCTGTGGCATTCATTGCAGCAGTAGGTCACCAAAGCGAGAAATACTTCCTGAGTTTTCAAAGGTGCTCAGTGCCTGCAGCAGTCATTCATTACAGTGAGTGCACAGGTTACCCATTACGTGGTGCTGGGGGAAAAACCAGACCAGGACTGTGTGTAAATCATCCATTCCTTCCCCACCCAAATTAGGACAACTAAATAGTTTAAGTAGCTATAAATATTTATAGTTAAAGTTAACATAATGATACAGGTCATTGAAAAGCCCTGCTGCAAGGCATACAGGGGTCAAGAACAATCCCTATCTGTTTGTACAATACTGAAAAAGTACTTGGGCTCTTCAGAGGGGGTTTTCAGCCTCTCTCTTCAGGTACTGGCCACTGGTGGAGGTGGGATGCCACCTTAGATGGATCTGTGGGCTGTGCCACTATGGACATTCTCTTGCTCCAATGTAAAACTTACACTTACAGGCTTCTCATTCATTCCCTATGAATGCACTTGACAAGTATTTCTAGGACTAATAATAAAAGGGCTCCATAATGGTCTTCCACACATTCGCTGCTTTTCATTCAAACAGATCTCAAAGCACTTTACAAACATCCCACACTATATACACAAGAATAAATCTGTTATTGAATGGCAGCTGACTGTGGGGTGGAAATAAAGCAGCTATCAGAAACATTTCACAGCCAGGGTAAAGTCTGTTGATCTGGTCCCCAGTTCATTCCATATTCCAGCCAGTGGCTGGTCACGTCCCCTGACAGATGTGTAGGTCAGGAACTGCTCCTCCTGAGCGCAAAATGCCCTCTTTGTGATACTAGGGTTTACTATGGGGGAGCCAAAGAGGGGTCCAGGGCTCTTTCCCAGAAATGGTGCCATACACACAAGCTTCATAGCAAAGAGGGCAATTTGCTATATGCTGCAACAATTCTCACGTTTTCAGATGTCACCATAAGCTCCAGATGACAGCTATTCAAAGCCCCCTTTGCAAAACAAAAACAAATGCCCCAGCATGACCCCAGGGCCACGGCCCTGGATTTTTTATTTATTTTTTTTGTTCCTTCCTGTTTGGTGACAAAAGCATCAGCATAAAACCTGCATAATACAAGGAAGGCTCTCTGGCACCGGCTAAACACCCGCTGTTAATTAACCGTTTCGCGGCTAGGAATGCTTCAGCGATTGCATTTATCGTGCAATTCCAGACGGGCAGAGCAGGGGCCATGAATTGCACAAGGTTTGAAACAGGACAAGGGGCGCGAGCCCCACGGGGGGGACGACATCCCAGCAAGCGATAAACGCGCGCCGCAGCAAGCTCTGGAGAAGAGGGTGGAAGACGTTCCCCGGGGGGAGGGACAGGCGCCAGGGCGCTGGATTCCGCAGCCTGCCCAAGAAAGCCCCGGCACCAGCCGCGGAGCTCTGATTGCCAGCCCCAGGAGTAGGGGCGGTGGGGCCTGCTCCAGCCCTGGGCCCTATCCCCACCGCCTCCCAGGACCCAGCCCCTTACCGGCTCCTCCTGCAGACCCTGCACCGCCTCCTCCCGCTCGAGCCGCTTCCCCCCGCCTGCGGCCGCAGCAGCCCCAAGCCACCACAGCAAGGAGGGCCGCTGCCGCTCAGGCTCCAGCAGGAAGCGCGCGCCAATGTAAGCCTCCGACCTACTGGCTGCGCGATCCCAGCTCGGATCTAAGCCCGGCAGCGATTCGCTAAGGAGTGGCGTCAGCTGGCTCCACCGCGTTCCACGGCTCGCTCTCCCCCGCCCCCTCCCGGGATGCAGGTGGGCGATGGAACCAGCCGGCTGCCCCCCCCCCCCAACGTGGGTGGGAGATGTGTTGGCTGGCAGCTGAACACCCGGTCCCCCCATTCCCGTCCTTCCACAGGCCCAGGCCGCTGCACCCTCCCTGGAGCCACAAAGGTCAGGAGGCCCAGTGTGAGGGAGATGGTGTCCCCCGATGTGCAGTGTAGGGAGCCAGCACAAGGGTGGCATGACACCCTGATGCTGGCGCAGCACCTGGCATGCTGTCGGTGCTGGATGAATAATTCATAACAGCAGCAACTGGATTGTAATTTGCTTGGGGTAGAAACCTCATCTTCATGCCCTAGGCGCTATGCCAGTACATCCCATTGCGATACAGCACTGGAACATGGTGAAGTGTCACTAGACCCCGCCTCCCACAAAGGGTATTTGGGGATCTCTGTGGGGGAGCAGGATGAGATCTGGGATTGCCCAGCATGTTGTACTATCCATACGAATGTCTATTCTGTTCAGGCTCTTATATCTCCCTCATCACCGTAGTGTCAGAGCACCTTCCACTAGTTTATTGAGTGATGTAACTAAAGCACCTGGGAAATGTGGGCATCAGTCCCGCTACTTCTCACGTGTTAAACAAGTGCTCTACCATTGAGCTAGCTCCCCAACACATCCCTTAGCATCAGCTTGAGAAGTGGTTATCCAACATTAGATGTTGGTCATCTGCACAGGTTGTCTGGCTCAGTCAAATCTGTATCAGGCAGAAGAAGATCTTTGCAACAACAACAAAAAATTGCCTCAGAAATGCGCTAGATTGAACAGAGGAATTTAAATTTGAATTAAAGCCCTGAGACCCCCTGCCCCACAGCTGAAGCCCTGAACGGCGTGGGTGGGGTTCCAGGAAATACTCTCTGAGAATTTAAGCCCTGGTATGATGAGACTGCCTATAATGACATGTAGCTGATCTGTGATTGCTAGAAGCAATAGCTCCAATGGCTGGTGATGGGATACTAAGTGGGGAGCACTGTTCCCTCTAAACTGTGCACGCACACAGATCCTAAACCCTGCTCACACGGCAAAACACCGCGCGCACATTTGTCCCGCGTCCCGACTGCACATCGGTCAGGACACCCTTTGTCCCAAAATCGGGGACCACTCACCAACACTGCCAAAGTCCCGGGGCTGGCGTGGCGGTGCTTCCTGGGGCAGCTCCCGTGGAGCGCCCGCCTGCCAGCAGGAGCCTGCAGTGCGGGCAGCCCTTAGGCACAGAGGCGGAGGGGGTCTCAGTGTGCTGCACCGGCTCCCTCCTGCCCAATCAGAGCTGCGGGGGCGGGGCTTGCAGGCATCAGCAGAGGGCAGAAAACTCTCCGCTCCCCCTCCCTCCCCCAACCTGACCCAACCCTAGGAGACAGAGGGACCTGCTGGCTTTTATGGTCTCTGTGCGCTGCCAGCACCTACAAGCCCTGCTCTGTGGCTCTGGCAGCTCCCATTGGCCCTTTTCCTGGCCAACAGGAGCCATGGAGCTCACGCTTGTGGCAGGCACAGCACGTGGAGAGTCTGGAGACACTGCTTCCCCCCCTGCTGCTCTGACCCTAGGGGCCAGAGACCTCCCAGCAGGGCCGGTGAGTGCGGCCAGGGAAGGGGGCAGGGCGTGATGGAGTGAGTGTCTGGGAGGTCTGTGGTGGGGTGCTGGGCTGTGAGGGTATGGAGGGCGCTGGACAGTGGGGGAGGTTTGTGTGTTTCGGGGTGCTAGGCAGTGGGGGCCTGTTGGGGGGTGTTGGATGGGGGGGAGATCTGTGTGTGTCAGGGCACTGGGCAGTGGGGTCTGTGTGGGGCATTGTTTAGTTGTGGTGGTGGGTCTGTGGGGAAGGGTACTGGGAGGGAGGGAGGAGAAATCTGTATGTATTGGGAAACTAGCGAGTGGGGGGTTCTGTGTGGGGTGCTGGGCAGCTGTGGTGGGGCTGTGGGCTGGGCGGTGCTGGGCAGGGGTGGTGGTGTACACAGCACTGTGCATTTGTGGTGGAAATGTAGGAGGGCTCTGGGCAAGGTGGGTTCAGGGAGTGGAGGGCAGGGGAGCTCTCTACCTCCCGCCCCCCCGCTCATCCAGTGTGTCCTGATATTTCACTCTTGCGATCTGGTCACCCTATTTACGGGTGACTTTTGACATTATTCGCCCGCCATCTATCAACACAGCCAGATTCTACTAGCTGGCAAAAGGGGAAAGGGAAAGGAGGGCACTGAATCATAGAATATTGAATGAATCCTAGAACATCAGGGTTGGAAGGGACCTCAGGAGGTCATCTAGTCCAACCCCCTGCTTAAAGCAGGGCCAATCCCCAATTTTTGCCCCAGATCCCAAATGGCCCCCTCAAGGATTGAACTCACAACCCTGAGTTTAGCAGGCCAATGCTCAAACCACCAAGCTATCCTTCCCCACCAGTATTTTGAACGTGGAACATGATCACATCAGGACGGTCGGGACCCACACATCTCCTTGTAGTGTGTTCATTTGGCTGTGTACAAACTCAAGTATGTGTGAATAAGTCAAAATGCCTGGCCGTAGTTGCTAAGGAACTGCAACGATTTCCCAGAAATGAACAAAAGTACGTGTTGTTTTTGTGACTGAAATCTTTCAAAGGCATTGGACTTCATACATTTACACGTGATGTTTTACCATTTTCCCATGTTTTTTTGACACAGAAGCATGGACGTGATCGGAGCTGTGCACAAACTTCCGGTATCCTGATCTGAATGATCTCCCGTTTGCCCTTTTGTCGAGTCACACTATTAAGCACATTGAAATAGTAGCCATATAATAGAAGTATTAATTTTAAATAAATCTGGTAAAAAAATCAATCCCAAAATGTCACTGTTTAGAGGTCTAAAGCGTAAAAGAACAGCGACTTCATTTAAATCTGGATGGCTGGATGAGACTATAGAGACGGTTACACCGAAGTCACATAGTGTAATACTTGTTAAACTTCATGAAATAGTCACATATGATGAGGACAACGGAGTGGTTTGTGTATAATGTCGAGATGCCAGAGCTTCGAGAGAATTTTCAACAGGAAGAATGCGGAACGATGTATGGAAGTTGGATTTCTTAAAGCGTCATCTGTCAAGTAAGTCTCATATAGATGGTGTAACAAGACTTAGAAACAAAAACCCTTCCTTATGGAGCGGATTGCTTAGCATGATTCTTGAAAGTCCAGCTGAAAAGCAGAGGAGGCAAATTAATCTTGAACGCAAGCGCTCAAACCCAGAAGAAATCAAGGTACTTATTGACAGTGTGTTGTTGGCTATTAAAATGAACAGTTCAGTGCTTTCTGTTTAGGATGTTAATGACCATATGGAAAAGTATGTGCCTCTACCATCAAGCTGGAGAAGTAAAAATTATGCTTTTGAATTTCTTGAAATTATCAACTGTCCAAAATGACCTCGTGCATGAAATAGCATCGACAAAGTTTCATACTCTAGCTGTTGATGAAAGCACTGATATATCCCTTAACAGATAGATACTTGATACTCTACTTTAAATAACAAGGAGTTCGGTGGCACCTTAAAGACTAACAGATTTATTTGAGCATAAGCTTTCGTGGGTAAAAACCCCACTTCTTCAGATGCATGGCCATTTGCAATCAAAGAGTTTTATAAAAAACACCAACTTGATCTAATGAAAATGGTGATGTTCACATCTGATGGTGCCTCCATGATGTTGAGCAAACTCAATGGCGTGGTGGCTCAGCTGAAACGTGATATTCCACACTTAGTCCAGCAACATTGCGTTGCACACTGGGAAGACTTGGGGATTTCCGATGCATGGAAAGAGGTCAAGCTAATAAGCGACATTGAAACCTTAATGAGAACTGTCTACATGGTGTTCTGTCGGTCATCCAGAAGAAAATGCAAATTTCAGGAAATAGTGGATGCTTCTGAATGTTAGTCAGTGGCTTTCAGCCCACTCAATGAAGTGCGCTGGTTATCGAGGCACTTTGCACTTCGAGCAATTATTCGCAACTATAATCCTCTTCTGGAATATTTTTGAGCAAGACAAAGATACTGATCCAGTTTCTAAATACTGCCACAAAAAGCTGAATACCATGGAATACCAAATAACATTAGAAGGTTTGAATGATGTTTTGTCAGAGCTGGCTTCACTATCCACACTGCTCCAGAAACGGGGTCTTACACCTCTTGAAGCATTTCACCTTGCCTGAGGTAAACTGAGCAAGATCAGAAGACAGTACCTTGGAGATTCAGTCTTATGGATTCAAAGTGACAAAGTTAAGGCTCTCTTAGATATGAGCTCTCAAGAAAATAATGAAATTGATACCAGTTCCATAATAACTTTCATAAACATCTTGTGTGCACATTTGGCAGACAGGTTTCCAGAGGATGAAGTCCAGGAGCTTTTGATTGGGCAGCAATAGTTAAGTGTGACTTCAGTTTTGGAATTCATCAGGTCAAATCCCTATGTTCAAAATACAAAGACTTTCTTGCTGAAGAGATTGTTATAGTCAGTCAGTACAATGACTTCAAGTTTGCAGTAGCCGAAAGAATCAAAAGCCAATTGGTTTTAAGTTTCCCGGATATAGTGACATTTGCTCACCAGAATGAACAGTTTCAGGATCTTGCAAAGTTGATGGATATTGGAGGAACATTCCTAGCATCAAGTGCAGACTGTGAGTATGGCTTTAGCTTAATGAACACTCTAAAAAACAAACTATGGAATCGTTTACAAGTACTGTAGATCATTTGGACATGCTGATGTGTATTAAGAGTTACCAGCTGGATGGAGGACTGATAGATCTGGACAGAGTTTATATTGAATGGGCAAATGAAAAAGATTGCAGGGAAAAACAGTAAGGTTAGTTTAGCAGTCTTTGACATTTCGACCAATAAGGAAATTAAAAT